ACGGGCATAAGAAGCCCAGAGCATACAGGAACTGCTGGGCACATTTGGCAGAAAGTGGGGCAGAGAGCATAGAGTACAGTCTGACTTTTACTTCTGACACCCTGAGGAATTAGCACATTTAGTGACAGCAGAAATACCTGTGGAGATGGGTTCCTCATGGCTGCAGTAGGTGGAGGGACAACGTGGTGCTGGTAGCTGGCTGCCCAGCTCTCCCACTAAAGGTGTCCTCAAAGGAAGCCCCAAAAGCCCATCCATCAATGTTCATCCATCCAAGAGCTGCTCAGGCACAGGAGGAGGATGAGGAAGGCCCTGCTGGCTGCAGGGACTGCCTTTCTCTGAGGGATTTGAAAATTTTACCCCCAAATCCATTCTACATATTGATTTTCCTACTGATTTCCAGTCGATAAAGTTGTACAAGTTTTTCTTTTTTATTTTCCCCATCAGCTTCAATTTGAAATGAATTTGGTGAACATGGTATTTCTGACATCTTGGCAGACAGAAGCATTACATGCTTCTCCTTGGGACTCCAGCTGATGTAACTCCATCGTAATATCGTAGACATACGACATAATTCATTTCCATATATACATATTTAGGCTCAATGAACTGAATATATATGCATAGGCTCATTGAATTTATGCTGGTTTTGAAATACATTTGTCCTTCCTACCAACACTCAAAGCTTCACAGTTGGCCAAGCACATTCCTGCAGCGTTGTTAGCCTACAGATTATTTTAACTTGTACTTAGTTGAGCCATAATTGCTTTACCCTCATTGCTTCCACTACAGCATCTGATATGATTAGCTACGCCATTAATTATCTTGTACTTTAACTGTGAGCCTCCTGCTGAAAACCAAGGAAAGGTCAATGCACATATAGAGAGAATGCTGTCCAACAAGATGCATTTATCAGCAAATTAAGCACGTTACGCACTCAGCACAAGCCTACAGTCCAAAGGATTTTACTGGTGTGCTAATGATACCTGTTGTTTTGCTAAGGATATCTGCTGCTGGGTAACAGGACACTGTCTGGCTCAGATCTCCCACAGGCTTCAGCATACAAAAATCCTTTATACTTCATAACAAGTAAATGCAATTAAACAGTGCAAAGGATATTTGGTACGTACCCCATTCAACACAGATACTTCTCAAGTGATGCTTGGATTTGTTGATGCATTGATTTGGTTTTTCACCCTTCCATTAGATGTGCCCCGTGGTCCCCACACTTTAAGGAAGCTTAAGGAACAATCTCATGCTGTGCCTCATAAATATTTTAATAAATTTCATTTGGTTTATTTCAATGTAAATTGTCATCATCAACTTTTACTTCCATATGTATTTTCCACAAGTTGACACAACTTCCTACTGCTCTGCCAACATCTGCATGATTTCAACCATGAGCAGCATGGCTGGAGGCGTGGAAACTGTTGTCTGATTTTTCCCAAGTAGAGGCTACAGACTGAGAACACCTCGCACTCTCTATCCACATCATCAAAAGAGAGAAAAGTGGTTTTTTCAGTGTATATATACACACATCATACATAAGTATCTATACGTGTATCTATACCTGTTAGCCCGTACAGTCACTGTCTCTGTTCAGCTACCAATTTCTGTTCCCAGCCTTCTCTTTGCAGTGCTCTCCAAGCAGATTCTCTCCTTAGAGAACTTCCCAAATCATTCAACAGATGTCATTATATTTCAATCAATACTGAAACCTGCATTGTGATCCCATTAGCAAAGGATCTTCCAGCGGCTTAAACCACATAAATGTGTACAAAGGATGGTCTGAAACTCATTACTGACAGGGCATAATACTTAAAAGCATTAAAGTCCCCTAAGAAATCATTTAGCCAAAATACCTTGCAGACAGTGCCAGCCTCATTAAGGATTTTTTTAAGTTTTCTTTTACGCTATAACTGAAACCTTAGTTTTGCACTCAGCAAAAACATTATTTTCTCCACATCTAACTCCACAGAGAAGCTAAGGGGAAAAAAAACAAGAGAGAGAAAGTATTTGTCATGACATGGCTGTGCTCCTTCTTCCCCGAGGCTGCAGAAATCCGAGATTTGTTTCTCCCTTAATTCCCCTCTACAACCTGCAACCCATCTCACTTGTGAGAACCTCCCTGGAGGCTTACGGGAAATTCAAAGCTGTACTCTTAATTCTTCACAAAGATGGAAAAAGTGGGGAAAGGACAAATATATCCAAACGCAGGCAGAGAAAATCATGAAGCTGCAAAGAGAAGAATAACCAAAAGTTTCACTATGCCCAGAACAAGCTTAGCTTAGGAAAACATGACTTCTGGCAAGAAGCTCACAAGCAGTGTCTGAATCAAGGCTTTACCTACTCATGCACTTGGAGCAGTCTGGGGCAAAATTATTGCTCTGCTTGCATTTATGAGGCCATTTTAACAAGATGAAATTCCAAATTATTTGAAGATTTCTGTGACAAAAGGAGAAATACAAGGTCAACTGCTTTTTTTCTTTTTTTCTTTCTTTCAGATCTTTGTTCTGTTATCATCCTTAAACAGATACACTTCACATTTGATTGCCTGAATTTGTATGGATCTGAAGCTATTTTACTGACATATGAACAATACTGCTTTTATAGCCTTCATACATAAAGAAAGTCTGGAGAGCTCCAGGTTTTGAAAGTCATCAGGCAGAAAGCACCATTCCTCATGCACATGGAGAGCTGCACTTCAGCTTTAAGGTGCATCATATGGGGCCCTCACACCCTCCACACAGCTCAGCTGAAGAGATTCTGCAAGCAAAATTGTACTGATGAAGACATCTGTGCAGGTTATTGAACATTCTCACTTCTTTGGGCTTTGCAACAGCAAGGAAGAAAACCAAAAAGAAATAGAAGATACTTTTCTGTGCACAAGTTGCTTTTAGAGCTACAAACTCTGAAAAGAAGTGCATACGATACAAGACAGAGTACTGACAAAGGGATTCTTGGGTTTTACTACAGCTTACAATGCAGTGAGAGCACAATGTTCACATAATTCCAATCTTACTGGTCATAACCCTGTGCACAGGGTCAAGGATGGCCTAAGCAGCTCCTGGTTTTGATTCACCAGATCCCAAGGAGCATTAGCAATGCTCAACTCTTCAGCCTCATTCCCTGCTCCAACTGGGAGGCAGCCAGGAGCTCAGTGGTACCCACAGCCTGGCTCCTACTTTCCTTCCCCTCCTTCCTTTCACCATGGCAAACAGAGTTGTTCTTTGTCCATTCTTTAGAACAGACTGCTAGCAATCAAAGCAAACAAAAACCTCTCTACCTCTGTAGAAATGAAGAGTCTCAACAGGTGTGTTTGCAATTTTATTTATACTGGAGTAGATCCACTAGCTTTTAGGAAGCTAATCCTGATTTACAGTTAGGAAAATCAGATAGCAATCCAGAGCCAAGCTTGTATTTTATGCTAACAGGTGCTGTTACAAGAGTCTGGAAACAACCAGCAGGCTGCTCTTACTACATCAAAGCAAACTGTCAATAACTTACATGATTTCAATTAAAAGCAGATATGCCAAGAATGTATTGAGTACTGAAGTCAGACCACATACCTGGAGCAATATTTCTCATTATTCATCAAGAATCCAGGGAATACCCCTACCTTTTTTGTTTAACATTTAGGGAACATATCCTAATTCAAAGTGCTGATAAAAAATAAATGCAAACTAAGAAGACTTGCTTGGTCAGAGCAATGCAGCACTTCAAAGGGTGGCTCCTGAGTGCTCACTCCTGTTAGGTTTAGGTTTGAACAGCTCTCCACAGACTAACACTGTGTCACTGGCACCAAATGCTGAGAGATATTAAGGAAAAATGAAGTGCAAGATTTTATTATTCATAACAGGAAACAAGATGACATACAGAGAGGAACTGGGGAAAACATTGTTATGAAAGTATCACTGTAGACAGAACTTGTAGCACATTTGTCATACTGCAGACACAAAGTTATAAATATTAATTTAACATTCACTGGGAAAAAAAAAAATAATATCAGGACAACTCCAGAAGCAGTTACTAAAGAATTTCAATACTATACAAAAAGTCACATGGCACAAGCACAATCTGACTACACTGCTTTTACAAACAGAAGTACTAGGAGAGGTTTCCAGAGGGAAGAAATGCTGCCAGCACAGACAACAGCTCCTGAAGCAGAGGGACAGAAGTCAGCCCTCTTTGCTTGAGTTAGGCAGAAGTATTTTCAAAATAATTCTGTTTTCAGTGAAAGATTCAATTTCCTTCAAATGGGAATCTGTTGGAAAAGCAGTGCATTTCTTAGAGAGGTTCTGATTATGTTTTTTTCCCCCTTAGACTTCATTTATAAACATTTGCACCTGAAAAAAAAAAAAAAAAAAAAATCAAGTCACAACCCTTTTTTTTCCCCTCTATTTTCTGGTTATTTTTCTTACACTATGAGAGTTATTATTCTTCACACTATGTACTTTCTTTTGTTTTTTCATTTGTTGGCTTGTTTTAGTTTTGTGCTTTTAAAATATATATATATTTTACTGTATTTGGATTTACAGCACACTGCATGAAAGGAGATGTCTAGAAGAAAGTGTTCAGCCATGAGAAGTCAACAGGAAAATCCCATTGTTGTCCTCAACTATCTTGTGAAAGGGTGCAGAGAGGACAGAGACAGACTGTCCTTGGAGATGCACAGAGAGGACAAAAGGCAACAGACAAGCTCTGCCTGGGAAATGTCAATAATATATTAGAAAAAAATCTTAGTAATAGTAGTCAAACATAAGAATAGAGCCCAGACAGGTGATGGATCATCATCCTTGAATAAGACCCTAAGCCACATAATTTAAGCTGACCCTGCTTTAAGCAGGGGAGTTGGACTAAAGCTCTCCAAAGGCCCCTCCAACCTACTCTGTGATGAAATACAGATTTTTTGCTGTAAAGACCCATGGGAAGTATTTATAATTGTAATAACTAAAGTATTTACACAAGAATGTGTATTTTACATATACTTAGAAAAAAAATACTGCATTTCAAAATGCATTTATTGCAATACCAGAAGCAAACAGTCAGTAGTAAAGTTAAGTTATTAAGAAAAGCCACAATTTGCATGTAAGTTGAAGTTAGAAGAAAGCTACAGAAGCTCAGTATTCAGAAACACAAACTCATGATTTCATGCAACCCTATTCATCTCAACTTCATTAAGAGATGGACTGGGCTGCTGATCTGGATCTAGATTATTATCTAATGTCCATATGTTTCATATTCCTGTACTTCCACTAAGTATTTTGAGAGATTAAATTGCAACGTCAAGTTAAGTATTTCAGTTCTCACAAGTGCAGCCTAGTTTCATTAAACTGTATCAATCATTTGACCAAAATGTAGTTTTAAACTGCTCTTTTCTAGAGGTATGAACACTGAACAACCCATAACAAACTTCTAACTTTTTTGAAATCAAAGTTTCATTTCTACTTAAAAAAAAAAAACCAAAAAACCAAAACAAATTCATAGCAGAAACTTAAAAAGATCTTTATAAAATCTCCATAACACTTACAATAGTAAGGAAAATTATTCTTGTTGCTAGTTTTTCGTAAATAGGAACAGCTTTGTGTAATCTGTATTAAAGGTGGTTATAACTACAGTTCACGTTTTATTACTAAAAGGTGGACCATAAACACGTCAAGAAAAGCAGATTATTGCTGTTTCTCAACAAGTCCTTTTTAACAAGGATGTGCTGCCTTAGTAGACAAAGCATGTTTGACAGTCAGCTGAGTTAGGAGGGAGAGAAGTAATGACTTGCATGCCAGAGAACTCCTCAGTGATCACTTTATATTTGGCAACTGTACAATTTAACTGATTTATGAGACCAAAATCGTGTCATTCCATTCATCTCTTGAATGACAGGGCTGTTCTTTTCAGAAGCAAGTTTGCTTGAAGTGACACAGGAAGGCAGAATCCGAGAGCGCTCTGGACTGCAGGAAAAATCAGATACTTATCCTGTCAGCTCTAACTATGCAAATAGCAGGTGTCCTTTGAAGCAGCTTTCACCAGGTCTGTCAGACCAACAGGTATGGCTGTGCAGAGAAAGCAGAACATGTATGAGGGAAATGTGAAATATATCAAGTTTTGTATGCCTGTAGTAGTACTAAGAAAATGAGATGTGCCAACATTCAATTCCAAGAGGACTCAAAAAGATCTATAAAAATCCATCCTTTTTTCTGATCAGTTTCTAAACACAAGAACTTCATGAAATGTACTTGTTTTGAACACAAACAGGCAATTACAAAGAGAAAAAGCTTACAACTGCTCATAGGATGTCATACACTATACACTTTAATTAGCTACTAGATCGTTAATGCTTGTAAGTTATCCTACTGTATTCAGAGATACTAGTAAAGATGCTTAGTTTGTATCTGAGCTTTTAATATGTTGATGCATCCCCCCAAAAGTGGGACATACGAAAGGAGTTATCACTTACTAAAAAGGAGAAGGGCATAGTGACTTAAATCTTCCAAGTTACACAGTGAAAGATACTCCTCTGAACATAAAAATAAACTTCTAGTGGTATCTATGCTTATTAAAAGAAGGACAACATTCTCATTTGCAAGAGAACTTCAAAAGCATCTCAGCATTTTCAACCAAGCAATCAAAAGAGATACAGGAAATGAAAACGCTTCCACAAAAAATGTCTTCAGTTCACATATTAGAGTTACATCAAACATTTCTTTACAAATCTTACACAAAGCATTTTATTACTGTTACAAGAAGAGCAGCTTAAAGATGACCTAGAAGTAAACCAAGTCACTCATACAAAAGACTTTTTTTTTTTTTTAAATACCATTAGTATTATTTCAGTGAGTAGAAACAAACAAATCCTGGTAGCTACTCACTGATTGCTAGTGCAACTGATTCTTCTTGTATGTGAATTTAGCTCGGTTAACACTACTGACTCAGTAACTTACCAACAAAAACATTATAAGACAGAACACTACACAAACATACTGTAAGGCACTGCACCGTAAATGAAACCTCATCATATCCAATATCACCAAGCTCCTACATTTCACTAAACATTCACTGAACAGCTGGACTAAGAAGAAATAACATTAAATAGAGACCACATTTCAGAGCTGTGCTGGCAATTATCACCTCATATCAAGAACTCTGACATAAAATAGCTTTTCAGAAAGGAGAAGAGAGCACTTAAAGATTTCTTCTGCATTTAAACATCTAGAAATGTTTTTTTCAGATGACACTCTGCAGCTACCTCCTTCATAATTTAAACTCCAGAGAAAAAGTGGAAAGTAAGGAGATCTAAGCTGCAGCTGAGTTTGTTATAAATGTGTGTTATCTTAGAATAAACTTACAAATCATGTATCTATGCATCAATGTTGTGGCTGCTCAGGATTGATATTCATAGTCCTGTATATTTCTTTGAGAAACAGCAAGGCAGTGTCTTCAGATTCCCTATGAAGTATTACAAAAAAAAAAAAAAAAAAAGTTAATTTGGCATGGATCACATTCTAACCCATGTCAGGCACACTTCATCCCATCCCAGTTCATGCAGACTGTTCAGAGAGTTATTACCTCAGTCTCTATCTTTCAGGAATGTGGCCTTTCTTCTATCAACCTCCTTTTTGAGTCACAACTCTGCATCAGTTTTACATTCCCTCTGGAATAAGCCCCAGCCAACATACTTACCTTTTACTGCTGCATTTTCCTTTCTGTGTTCTCCCTAACTCTTACTATACTGCAGTTTGAAATCTCCTTCTCCATCCATTTCTTTGATGTTATTCATTTGGCTTAAATCTCCCCAAATAGCCTATCACTTACTCCTGCCCAGTTCTATCAGCAATATTCTATTTTTCTGCTAATTGGTTCATGCTTTCTTGTTCATAGGCTGTAACAAACATCCATAGCCATCTTCTGCACTTTACCTCCAAAGAAACAAAAGTATTTTTCACATCATTTAAACACTAAGATAATTCAAGTAACATGTTTCAAAATTGTTTTACCAGCTCTTCTTAAAATCAAAGCTTCAGGCCATCTGAATTTAAATTCAAGAAAAAGAAGCATCCATGTTATGTCTATAAAGTGTTATATAAGCACAAAAACCAGTACCACTATAAGAGAGTAACAATCACTGGAGAGAAAAAAAAAAAAAAAAACACACAATTCACCAGGCAAATTTAAACAAAGCTGCAGCAGTAGTTAGATAATAACACCTCATGCTTTAAAAGAAATTGGACATGGAGATAGCAAAGACTACTTAGACCATCAGAACTGCAACCCTCCAAATGCAGAGAGCATCTTTTACAGAAAACCTGTAGAGTGTTAAACATGCAAGCCAAAGATCTACAGACATTTTCAACAGTCTAGTATGGAGATAGCAACCACATTTCTCAGTGTTCTCTGCTACTGAACAAGCAAGCAAACAAGCAAGCAGAGAGGTCTGCACCCTGCAACACAGACTGTTTAAGGCATTTCCTCACCACCTCCTGAGGAAGAAACAAACAAAAAACTCACATATTTAGGTCACGAATGACCAAAGAACCCAGACATGGCTAGATATGCTTTTAAATTTCAGCAATGACCGGCTGCCACCTTGTGGAATAAAGCTCCTTTCCTTCAGCTCTACCTGCAAAACAGCAGTGCCACCGCTGGGTCACCAACTGCTTGGGAGCTCTGTTGGAGCAAACCAGTGCTTGGCTGCACTGCAGCTTTGATAAACCTTTCTGCAGGCAGTTACTGATCACTCGCTATGCAAGTGAGATGAGCTTTTCTAAGATCCTGCAAGTAATGCTTTCACATTCTGTACTTCACCCTCTGGAAAATTGCTCACTTCTCAACTTTTATCCATCAATAATAAAATCTTTAAAGTAGAAAACACAAAAGCATAGAGAACTGCTTGCTCCATTCCTGCTAAACTCAGAAAGAGAGACAAGTATTTTGGTTACTTAGAGACAGGAGAAGTCACACCCCTTTACTCAACAGCTTTTTGCATAAGCCAGCAACTGATATCCCAGCTTGTTTGCTTTTTTTTACCTATGAAGTTGCTGTAGCATTGCCAGATACAGCTTACACACCCTCTGTTCTACAATTCCACAATCTGTGTATTTTCACATGTGCTTAATTATAACATCCTCCCTTTGAAACATAATCACTTAAAAAGAAGCAAGTTCAAATGCAGACATGGCAACAGCATAGTGCAGGTCTACACGATGCCAAAATCTGCTCCTTTTCTACAAGTTGTTCTGTATATGAGCAACCACTGTCTACATATGGTAAATCACAGTCATCCTAATGTACAGGAAAATCTGCTAATCTGCTATGCCTTTTTCTTCCTTTGCTTTGTTGAGCTTTAGCAGCACAGCATCAATATCTGATACTTTCACTTCAACACAAAGAGGTAATTAAGTTTTACTATACATTGAAGTCTAATACAGTTCCTTCACAAATAGTCTTATTTGAAAAGCTACAGATGGCAAATTGCTCACTATGCTCTCCTTTTTTAAAAGATTGTACTAAAGGTATGTGCTTTGACTTTCAAAGTTCAATAGACCAATATGCAATGTCCTGATGGCAAACAGGACTATAGATTTGTTTACACTGTGCAAATGCACACTATTTTACAATGAAACTAGCTAACAGGGAAATCCAGGTAGGACATCTTGAGAATGACATTCCTGAGTAATTATATATACAGTCTGCCTTCACATTTGACTTGTCTCGATTATTTGATCATCCTGAAAATAACAGATCTAACTTCACAATATAGTCTGAGTGGGAAAAAAACATCTTCCCAAATGGGAGACCATTTCAGAATTAAGTGATGAGGACCTCTTACCAGTAGCACAAATGACTCTGTAAAGCAAAAAGGTATTCATTGAAGCTTTCTATTGGTTTTTCTTGTAGAACATAATCGATGCGTCGTCCTCCATTCAGCATTCCAACCTTCACTGTAAAATCCTCATCTTTTGGAAGGTCTGGACTTTCAGTGATCTTTTCAGCTACAATTAAAGATTTTAAGATTTTAACTATTTTCAAGCACAGCTTGACTATTGACTATAATTAAGGATAATCACTCATTTTCCCTGCCACAATTTCCAAGCACTTGCAATTAGACAATTATAGCAGTCTCAGCTGACTAGGATGGCATTGCATAAACTAGAAATTCAACAGCAAGTGCTAGAATACTCAAGCTTCTATTAACTGGAGAACAATAAATAAACTAAAAAATGCGTCCATGTACCTTCTACCACTTGCTTTTCCTCTTCCTCTTTAATTTGGTTAGCAACTTTCTCCAGTTCTGCTTGTAGCTGAGTTGAAGATGTATGAGCACGTGCAAATTCATTAAGGGTCTGCCATGCACTCTTCAAAGAGCTGATAAAACCCTGTTTCAGATCAGATCCCATTCGAGACAGAGAGTCTTTCAACTCTAGAAAGAACATCACAGCAAAAGTACTTAAAACATTCAACTAAAACCAGAATTATTAAGCCCCATTCAACAAACATTTCAATTGTTATGAGAAACAGGCCTGTAATATCATAAACATGTATTTCTTGCACCTCTACTCTATTTAAAAGGATGATATACAATTAGTGCACCATTATTTCTCACTAAATGGGTTAATGAATTAACACAGTAAATGTGCTAACAGCAACTAAGCTGTTAAGTACTGATGGCAAGCACTGAACAAAAGAGAGCTCTCCCCAACAACTCCTCTAACACTCAATTGGTTGATGGCTAAATGGTTAGATTCACATTGCTCTGTTATATCAGGAATCAGAGCTTTCCATGGAACATTCACCCAGATCTAAGAAAAATCAGTCTTTCTTGTAAAGAGATACAGACCATATTTTTTTTCCTTTATTACATACACTTTAAGAGTTGCAACCTAAAACATTCCTAAGCAAGTACCTCGTCTAGCCTAGGAAAATAGACTGATTTTAACATACCATTCTAAAGCACAGATGCTACTGAATTTCTTTATCCAAGACCCTGAATGAAGATGGACTTTCAAAAGGGTCCTGAACTGTTGCACTGTTAACTGAACAGTAAAGCTGACATTCTTTAAGTAAGCAAGATTTAAGTCACTTTAGTCCAATTTATATTCTTGAGCAATAAAATTCCAACCCCTGCACTGGGGAAAAAATCTGCATTTTTTTCCTGAACATTTCCAATACTGAAAAATCTGGTTAAACATCTAATGGAGGTCATCTGGGACAAGGTAAAAAAAAAAGAAAAAAAAACAATAAAAACCATCTAACAACACAAAGACAGGTACCTGGACACACAGTCTCCTGAAACTGTATGATATTCTATTGCTTCAAACAAGGAAGTTAGGAGTTTGATCCATAATTTACATAAGTTTATTTTTTACCTAGATGAAGTCTTTTTCTGCCTTTGTGGTGTGGAATAAGAACTGGTTTTAAACTCAAGTCTTCAATGATCATTGGTTCTATCCTGTAAGCTACTGGATCAAGCTGTTAAGAAATAACAAAATGATGTTAGTTATCAACCGACCTGTCACTGTCTAATTGTTATTCATGACAGGACAGAAAAAGACAAGCATACTGCATTTACAACACCTGTCAGAATTTCTAAGTCTCCCAGAATCTATCTGGAAACTAAAAAAAGCCCTGTAAATAGCTCAAATAAAACATTTTTACAAAAACATCCTGAAAGGTTTGAGATTAATGAAGAAAAAAACCAAAAACTTTGGTTAAGCTCTAAAAATGAAGAGGACAAATATTATCAAGCTATATGTAGGCATAGAACCTGTAATGCTAACTCTAGTTTTTTTGTAGTAAATATCATAGATATCTAGAATATTTATTCCAAATGGGTTACTCTGTTTTTTTAAAAAGTGTACCTATGGGGAAATGAGGTGTAATGCTCTGAGTTAAAAAAAAAAAAAAATAATAATAATAATAAAAAAATTTAGTATTCTGTATTGTGGTTTACATCAGCTAAAATCAAAACCCAGAAGTACTGCTTACTCACTGGATGATAGATATTGAAGAAACCCTTGCAAGTAGGAAGCCTGTAGTTCTCATCAATCTTTTCCAGTCCTCGTACAGTTAGGAACACACCAATAGGAGAACCAAGAGCAAAGAATGTATCTGGTTCAAAGTCCAGTGCATTGTAAACTACCGAAACCTATCAGACAAAAGGCAGAAAAATAATCTCTCAGCACTGCCAGCTAATTAATATAATGCTTAACTAGGAAGGAAAAACAAGACATTTATTAAATCAAACACATGCTGACAAGTACCTCCAAGACGTTTCAGCTGTTCCATTCCATACTAATACTGTAGTATTGTATATGTGAATTACTATAATGTGATTTTTTTTTTTTTTTTTAAACTTTACATTATAGGTAGATACAGAAAAGTTAAAAATCGATATTTATTTGAATAGGAAGCACTCAAAGCTTCTTCTTTAAGCTTTGAGTTAAGCTTGAATTAAGATTGAGGTACAACTTAAATATAACAGCACACATAGACCAATTTAGGCCATTCAGTACCACAGCATTCTTACCATTCTGATTTTGGAACAGGACACTTTTTATAACTCACTCACTGGTGAAAGTACAATTGTAATTGTACTGGTGTCCTCACTATAATAGTATTTTTCTGTAATCTGATCCACTCTGCCAGCACTCACTCTCACCAAAAGTTCCTTGTAAACATAACATCTGCACAACAACCAAGGGACGTAACTCAAAGTCATCAACATTGAATGAGTGAAATACACAAAAACAAGCAAAAGGATAACACTGTTCCAGATGGTTGTTTAAATTTATGTAGTCTCACCTGACCAGTTCCAACTTCAAAGTACTCATAGTCAACATTCACAGAAGAAACAGATGCACCAACTGGAAGCTTCCTCTTTGAGTGCTGCTGACCAGACTCTGAAGGTGAGACAGAAGTAACTGTTTCTTTTGCTTTCTGGGGAGCTTCCTGTGTTTGGAGCATGGCAGCCAATGCTGCTTTCTTCTCTGCTGCAGCTTTCTTTTGTTCCTTTTGAGACAGGTTTCAAGACCAGAAAAAAATAAATATTTTTTCCACATTTATCAAAATTCTTCTAATATGTTGTTAACAAGTGTGTTAAAGAACAGAAGTTACTTAATAACAAGAAAGTCACTTACACTTGCTTAACAACTCTTTATTTCACTCCTGAAAAGTGAATTTACCTGCTTGGCTGCTCTGTCTTTTACAAAATTGGCTATTTTCTTTCTTGGTCCAAGAGGTATCCCCATTTCCTTCAGGTCATCAATTGTACACATCAGCTTAAAAACAAAACACAAATATATACAAAGTACACTTAATAACTTTTCTAGTAACATATATCATTTTTTACTGACAAATGAAATAATTAGAAGACATTTTACAAAGCTACAGAAATTACAAAAATGTAAGAATACAAAACATAGTGACATAATATAATTGAAAAAAAAAAAAAAACCACTCCAAATCATACAATATATAGTCTTCATGTCTAGAATTATGTTACTTTCATGACTACTTTCATGCCTGACAGTATACTGAGGCAAAAGAAGAAAACAGCAAACAAACAAGAACAAATCCAACACCTACACCCTGGTACAACCCCCATGATCCAACTGAACATTATCGTACCAGAGATTCCATGTCAATTCGCTCCTTTTCAAATGTGTTTGCATACTCTGATAAACTCAGCATCTCCAGAGTCTTCTGCAAAGTAGGAATATCATCATCTACTTCAGGCTCACAGAGGTCATCACCAGAAGTAGTAATTGAGGAGCCCAAGGAACTGGTATCTTCAGTCATCTTAAAAGGACAGCACAGAGAGTCACATCAGACAGTAACAAGTCAATACACAGCAAATAATTACAAATTCTGTTACCTGCCCTTAGAAGCACTCATATTTATATAAGCTTTGTTAATCTAAGCTCATTTTTAGTAAAATACAGTACAGATTTTCTGTTAATAACAGAAATTATACATTTAAAAATTGTATAGAAGAAAGAAGACAAAGGTTTCTTGAGCTTTCGAGCACTTAAAAATGTATTTCCATTAATGATCAAACAGATGGACACTGCATCAAGATGATAACAAATAGATTCATTCTTTCCTTCTTGGAAATCTCTCTATCACTCAGATTCTACAAAGACAAGTCATGCGTCCACAAGACCAAAGATAATGCTCATTATCAAATATCAGGACTACTCTGAACTTCAAGGAAAGGCATATAGTTTGTACTGAGATTTGACAATGTTTACAAAATGGCACATTACCATTAACATGTCAAAACATACCATCAAAACATGCAGCACTGTTTCAGTCAGTAAACTCTGGCCACTAGAGAAAAAGTTGCTGAAATTATCAGATCTACTTGCCTGGGAAGATTAGTATGCAAGTTACCTGTTTATCTTGAACAGACGTATCCTTTTCAGTCCCATTAACACCAGAGAAAGGTTCAGTATTTACTGATGAAGCCAAGTCTTTCTGGTTAGATAATATGTCAAACAGAATTAAGGAACCTGGAAACACAAATAAAGTTGCTTTAAGAAAAGTTTTAGATACTCCTGTGCCAAAGTAATAAGCAAGAATTAGATACAGCAGTAATAGCAACATATAAATTGATCAAAAAAATTGCTGAACTTAAATACACACGTTAACATAGCAGTAAAATGCAAACAAGATCTTTTTCGTCTCTTTCTGTTCAAGTGGAATGCAGTTGTTAATATTAAACTACCTTTCAACCATCTTAGATGGAAGATGGATAGGTCTTACCAAACTGAAGGAAAAATACCAGCCCAAACCAAAGTAAAATAACTTTTATAAAGTTGTATGTTGTGTTCCAAAAAATGACCTTAGTTTTACTAAGTGGGTTACCTGTCTAAGATGACACTAGATAACCAGTTAACTTTTAAACTCAGATTAGATATTAAGTCCTCATGAAGAAAATTAAGACAGGTCAAACATACACGTATCCAGGAGTTACAAACTTTCTTGCAAATCTTTATAAATGCAGCTATTGAGAAGGGCTTTATTTTCAGTCTGAAAGACAGGCATGAACTATCAGCTAAGTTCAGCCTTCCACTTCACAAAGGTTCCACTTTCCTTCATGTAGGAATGCTGGTTTTATTTTAAATCAGTGCCTTAAATAATCACCTAAACTGTGTCCAGCCACAGAGACTCCTCCTTTGAAATCTGGATTGCGACTCATGAAAAGTGCATACAAACGGTTCATTTCCATCCCTACTTTATCCACAATCGTCTGACAGTAGGTGGGGCTGTTGTAAAACAGGATGTCAAGGAGGGTTTCGTTGGTGAAGTGGCGCAGGCGTCCAATCGATGGCAAAGTGATTTTTTTGATGTTCCTAGTTAGAACACAGAATTGTTAGAAGTAGTAGGTAAGTAGTCTGTTAACTTCTGAAACAACAGATCAGAGCTGCAATCTAAATACTACAGATAGGGTCTTTAGAGATATTTTCAATAGCATGTAGTTTTCTGGCCTCGTTGCAAATTCATACGTTAGTGCTCAAGGAATGAGCAAAGGGCTTAATGCCTTCCTCAGAAAGAGGACCCTGATATCTCCTATAGTCAGGCTTGAGACTGCAGGAAGGCACAGGAGAGACAACTAGCCACTGAGAATGGAACACACCTGTTGCTGTACTACACATTCACTCTCATAAGTGTTTCATGTATCAATTGCATTAGCCACTCCCATGAAAATGCTGTACCAAATGTACAGCACGTGTATAGATACAAATCCTGTTACTCAGCATCATGAAAAATAATACAAAATATTCCACATCTTTCCAATTTTCCCTACACTGTACAACAAAGTGATAATTACAAAAAAAAAAGCAGTATTTTTTGTAACACACTCAGACATTCGTTCATCTAGCCTAACAAGCACATTAATTTCTCTAGTTATTTCTACAAAAAAAAAAAAAAAAAGATGAACATATACTCACCTGTCTACACCTGTTGCATCTCCATGCAGAGAGCTATGCCAGTGAACTGGAAGGAACTCCACCCTGCTCACTTTACCTTCCTCTAAAGATTTCTTAAAGTGAGTCTGCAGCAACTTCAGAGAAACGGTTCTAAAATCATCAACTGTAGAGAAGCAGAGTAATGAAAACCTGACAGTAAAGGTATTCAAGAAGTACACAATTACTAACATTCTTTTTTTCCCCTTAATTGCAACAGACATAATCAAAATACAAATTAAGGAAACTACAAAGTGGAAAAACCTTTCCAAGAATTACTCAATTTTTCTTTTTTTTAAAGTGCCTTTCTTGTAAGCTTCTCTTTTTCTCACAACAGTGCATTTTTACTCTAAGATCAGTCCACACACAGCCTTCTTAACTCACTCAGCTGTCTTAAATAAATAAGCCCAAAGAAATCCACACACAACCAAACACACCCCAACATCCACTAAAAATCTTTTCAGTTTTTTGTTTTTTTTAAAGACATACTTATCTGAAAGATAAGCTATCTACAATTAACAGTTAAGAATAAAACTGCAATTAAACAAGGAAAAACTTACCACATTCAACAATGCTTCTAAATCTCAAGTCACAGACAGGACCGATGCCATGAACCATAAACACCAAATGGTCAACTTGGGCCATTTCTCCTGTTGAAAAAGAAAAAGGAAAAAATCAGAGTACCAATCTTTACTACACTAGTGAAGTTTAGAGTCAAGCATTCTTAACCTGCTTCAAAAAGCCCATTATATACCATGGTTCAAGATATCACACAGTCCACAAGACTGCTTTGATTAGAAAACCACATCAATGAATTACAGCTTAGATTATGGAGCAATTTTAATCTTTAGACTCTAAACATGATCAGCATTTTGCTGCTCCACTCACTATCATCCAACTTTTGCACTGAACCAAACCTACTGCTCAAGATGCAGCCCCACATACACTAACCACATACCATCAGGTATTTCATCATGGTCATCATCAATTCCACGTTTTACTACCCTTGGTCTTGCCTGACCATCTTGAGAGGTGCCCCATTCATCTGATGTGGCAGAAGGCTGGAACTGAACTATAACCTGAGAAAGAATACATTTACCATTATAAATACAAAACCTACCATTATAAATACAAAACCAAACAAAATCAACAAAAAACACAGCCTTTTAAAACCTTCTCCACAGTTTTCCTTAAATGAGACTCTAGACCCTGAAGTAACACAGATAAGTCTCTTTAGTCTGAGAAGCAACCAGATGACTTACACTAAAGTAACCATTAGTTGAAAATGCTGGCCTGCTCTGCAATTCTTAACAATTTCAATCCCTCAGACGCCTCTTTCTTGGATCCCAGTGCCCACTCTTCCTTATCAGTTGGCTATTTTTTGTGAAGAAACTGACTGTTTCCCCTATTTACAATTATTCTAATTTAAGGCAAAAAAAATTGATCAGTCCTCATCAGAGGAAGAAAAACATTTGAAGGAGCATAAAGACCTTAGAAAACAATTAATTCACTAGCATGACTGTTTATAGTCACTAGCACAACAGTGTCACATCATATTTATGACACTAAGAGTTTTAAGTGCTTCTTCTCTAGGGTTTTCCTTCTTAACCTACATTAGTATGTGGTAAATATAGGAGTAACTGTGATTCTGATATATATGTATTTTTAAATTTCACGTATTATTGCATCTGTGATAAGAGAACAGTTAACAACACTGCTCAATAAGTCTGAAGTCCACAGTTAAATCACAAGACACTGCTAGCAGAGCATTTACAGTACAAAAAAGATTTAGTTAGAAATTCTACTTCCTCATGGCCTAGAAATAGCTGCAGTGAAAGACTTTGTGGCTTAAATATTCAAGCTAATTTTTACAGTTTGATTAATGCTCTTCTTCATATGAAAGCTTAGCTTTAATTAACCTCAGACAGTCTCTAGCAACTGGAAAGTAATTAAAATTGCCTCCTGCTCGCTGCCAGTTACACTTAGCAAATATTTCAGCCATTTAACCCTTATTCTTTCAAAGTACCAGGATGCACTGTATTTTAGTCAGGTCACAGCACATTGAAACAAGATTTTAGTTTCTATAAGCATTTTTATCTTAAACGCACACATACTCAAAACAATTAACAAGTCAATTTCAAGCAAAATTAACATTGCATTATCTTTATACTCATTCAGCCCAATGTGTTCTGCAAGAACCAGTTGCCAGAACCTATTACCTTGGGATTATGCATAACAATTGTCTCCCCATTTGGGAATTCAAGTCGACGATGCCATTGATTTGTAGTTACAGCCCTTTTATATTCTGCCTGAAACAGTAAACAAGTTAAATTGAGAAGGCATTTTCATTTCATGTCTTTTTTGGTCATGCACATTATCTGTAATGTTAACGTTAGAAGTTATATAGTTTTATCTATACAATGAGTGACATGGCTCAGTACACATGGTGGGGATGGTTTGAGGATTGAACTAGATGATATTAGTGGTCTCTTCCAACCTTAGCGATTCAAAGCATCACAGATGAAGCACTATACAGGTTGACTTAAGGCCACAACAGGACAGGACCACTGCATGAGCAATTAACTATTCTGGCCGTTCCACTTTCCAGAATTTGCTTACTTACATTCCAGAAATTACACTTGGGGAATCATTTTAATGAAACAAAAGGAAGTAATTCTACAATCATAAATAAAAAGTACTTCTAAGTTCTTCATGAAGCTTATGTAAAAAGTAATACCTACCTCTAGCTTATCACTAAAATCCTCAGTGTAAGGAATAAAGCGGCTATCCTTCTCTCCCTTATAGAACCACATGCATCTTCTCACTTCTGAAGGCTCTTCTTCCCAGTAAACAGCCTTCCTCATTCTGTCATACAGGTACACATCATAGCGTCCGCCGTCAGTGCTCAGAACCACACTCTCAGGATCAGGCTGGACTGTGACACAAAAGTTACCCTCAGATACAATACAAACGTGTGCATTCTTTTTTCCTCTCTCATTCCAAGGCCCCAGTCATTACTATGACTGACACTAAGTCATTAAGACAGATATTTATATCATGGAAGAGAAGCTTAATATCTTTCATCTAGTTCCTTCTGCTCACCTCTGAAGAAGATACAATTAAAATCTTTGTAACTTACCAGAATTATAGACTTCCTCTAGTTTTGCAGAATCCAGAATGCTGAATGGCATCCATATTTGCTTGTCCTCCACCTCTTTACAGTAAAACCAGTGTGGCTGAACTGGCTCATATTGGTTCTGTGGCAGAACAGGAGGTGCTTGGACCAGAGGACCTGCAGGTCTGGGAGCTCGGAGTTGTGACTGAGACTGAGGAAACTAAAAATACATACCTCTCAATTTTACAGGCTTTTTTTTTTTTTTTTTTTTTTTTTTTTTTTAACAGAACTAATTCATCCTTTGCAATAAAGAGCACTCTGAGCCTTTATTTCTGTTTTCTAAGAACATTCTCTTTCAATCAGAAAATAGTATAGACAAACTGCCTGTTGCTTACATTTTTGAAAACTTGCATGTTCCCAATTACAGGATAGATCTTTAAGGTAAAATATGCAATTCAAAAAGGAATAGTGTCTTAAATTGTTAAATTCTAGTAGTACCACATCAGGAACAATTTACTTACCTGTGTCAATGGCCCTGGAGGTGTCTGATACATCTGGACAGGTGGGACAGAGGATGGTGGGTGAACAGGTGGGGTTGATGCATGACTCTGCTGTAGTTGTGGTGGAGTAAGGTATGGGTTGGCTCTGCTGCTCAGGGTGGTGTGGCGGTAAGGGTTATACCCCTGCTGAGATGGAAGAGCAGAAGCATTTGCAAGTGGGGGACAGCACTGTTGAGGAGTTTGATAACCTGTGATTCCTACTTGTGAAGTAGGTGGAGGACCAGAAGAGGACTGTGACTTGGGAAGCTGTGGAGAAAAGGCATTTTGCCCATCCTGTGACCCAGTCACAAGTGGAAGTGAAGTTGGAGGCCTGGAGAAGGCTACTGCTCCAACAGGTGGTGCAGAAGATGTTAAGGGCAGCTGCCCAATGCTTCCAAATGGGTCACTGCTACTGGGCACTTGAGAGAAATAGTTGAAAGTCTGTGGAGGATTAGGGCTGGCAGAAGTCTGACCCAAGAAGCTGTCCTCTTCGCCAACATCTGCAGAATCATCTGCAAAGACAAACAACACAAAAAGATGTCCAGAGAGGTTCAAACAAATCAGCATATGTAGACAAAATGTTCTGTAATGTTACGAGCTATTTCCAAAACCCTACTGGACTATCTGAAACCAAAAGTATTATAAATCTTACGTATCCTTGAAGATTAGATGTGCCATAAAGTTAAACAAAGGATGCCAAGTCTTCAAGAACATCTAAAACAGACCACAAAAGCCATTCTGTGTTCATAGATAAAGCAACAAAAACTAAAAGTTTAAGAGGCCAAAGTATGACTTAAATTAGAACCTTTCCAAGCCACCTTGTCAAAGAAACATGCTTCCATGGCACTAAAATCCCCTTCAATCTCCCTTATGCCTACCAAGTACAAGAGCAGCTTTGCTTTATTTCCTCTCACTATAAAAACAGACACTAAGAATAGAACCTTACTCTCTAATGCTTAGGCTTCCAAGATCTCACTTAAAAGTAGGGATTAAGGACATTCCCAAGCAGACTGTGCCTACTGGTGATGACTCTTAGCAACTTAAGGCCATTCCTCACCTGACCCATCAGCAACACCCTCTCTCAGTTTCCCACTGTACTTGTAAGGTAGCCAAAATTCATCACTCCAGTTTATCTGATAAGCAAGATTCATCACAAGAAAGAGTTAGTCCGGTTCTGTCTAAGAACCTTACTCTAGGTTTGTGCAAGAGGTGAATCTCTGGTACAGGAAAATAAGTCCCCATCCTGTGTAATTGCAGGAAAGGGCTTAAAATCCTGTCATGTCTGTCTATTTGCACTGTAAGAATAAAAACCAGCTCCTGGTCAGCGGCAGCTTTCTGCTTTGCACTGATCCAGTAGAAATTGGAAAACTGCTTGGTTTTCCAATTTCTACTGGATCAGTGCAAACTTGATGCAGTTTGTTTGCAAGTGCAGACTTGAGCCCAGCAATAAACTCAGCTGAGTGCTGAATTGTCTGAGCATCACTGCCTGCCTGAGGGAACAGAACCTCCCGAGCACCCAAAGCAATTTACTGGAAGTCATAAGAGCATTATTGTCTGCTCTGGCAGTCAAATAATCCCCAGACAGCGGGGATGAATCCCCCATTACTGCTTCTCTGCCTCTCAGTCCCTAGGCAATGAGAGACCAGCAGCTTATTACCAGCAGTATTCCTCTCACGTTCAATGACTGTGTGACAGCCTCCTGTGCATCCCTCACACATAATACCTTGTCACTCACAGACTGCCACCTGATAATCCCAAGTGACAAAAGTCCAAGTCCTCATTGGGATCACTCTACCTACAGTAAGGATGTTACTTCATCTCAACCAGAGAACACATTTTCTGTCTTCAAACTGTATAGCACAAAACTCTTACTGCTACTCACTCTTCAAAATGCAACAGATGCATGCATGTACACAGCTTCCAAACGTCAGCTTTCACATGGATGTCAAACAATTCCTGATGTAGTTTCTCATAACAATTCAGGATTCAAACTCAAGGACCCATCCTTTCCTGCTTCAGACTGTGATTCAAGATGTAAAGTACTCTATGCATCCATGTCCTTGTGACAGCTGGGTAGTCAAGGTGAATGGAAGGGATGACAGAAGTAGAATATAACAGGATGCCCCTCCCTCGAACGTGGCATAACCTCAGTAGATCTCTAGCAATTAATTTCACTCCAGTTGCAAAACTATGAACTTTCATCCAATCAAAAATTCAGCAAAAAGGAGAGCGCACAACTAATCACATCTTACTACTGAAATCCCATCAACAGATTTCCTCCCTCGCCACGTGAGAGCCACTCACATAATGCTAATTTCCAGACCTGCACTTAAAAACTGTAAGGATTGCACAAGCTCAGTTAGTACACGTGTCAGCTACCTATTTTAGATAAGTAGGAATGATATTTTAATGCTCTTATTCCCTCTCTCTCCCCCTGAAAACGTGGAACATCTAAAAAACATTCTGAAGCCGCACTTGCCAAGGATGTTTTTAAGCCCACAGGGATGTACTGCATTCATTTCCCTAGCTAAGGCATGTCAGCGTTGAAATCAAGCTTTGGATTTTGATCTGAGTGTGGAACCACAGACTCATTAAGGTTGGAAACGACCACCAAGATCATCCAGCCCCTCCCCACATCCCTCAGTGCCCCAACCCACAGCTCTGTACACCACAGACTCGGTGACCCCCGTCTCCCTATGCAGCTGTGCCTTCAAATACCCCACCTCAACCTTCCCTGGTGCCAAATTAACACGGAAATCTCCAGTTCCCGCTTAGCACGCTGTATCCGCACGGGGAAAAGGAAAAACGACGCGGGACAGGCGCTCAGGGAAGATGAGGGTCACACTGAGGCAGGAGCTGCTGCCGAAGGGAAGCGCGGCACGGAGCCCCGAGCACAGCGGGACAGGAGCGGCCCCTCAGCCCCGCACGCCACAGCGCCCGCCCCTCGCAGCGCCCCATACCCGCCGTGAGCAGAGCGGGGCCCGGCGGCGCGGCCGGCGCCTGGCTGACCGGGATGAAGGGCACGGTGAAGTTGAATTCCGTAGCGGAAGAAGCGAAGAGAAGGTTGGTGCCGGCACCGGGCTTCGCCGCCGCCATGGCTGCGCCCCGTCCACGTCCCTTCCCGGCGGCGGCCCGGCCCCTTCCGCCCTCATCCCGCCCGCCTTTAAGATGGCGGCCCCGCGGGCGGGCACGGCGGGAGGAGGAAAAGGGAGGGGCGGGAGGAAAAGGCGGGTTCGGATCGCGCCGCCATTGCTGCGGCCGCTCTGAGAGGAAGAGGAGGGGGAGAAGGCGGAGGGCGGAAGTCCGCGGTCCCCGCGCTGGGCTGGCGAGCGGGAGTTGGCGGTTGCGGGGCGCTGGGGAGGCGGCGGCGGCAGCCTTCGCCCGCTTCGCTCCCGCCATGCCGTGCGTGGCCGACTGGCTCAACAACCCCTTCAGCATCGTGCAGGGCATCTTCGGTGAGCGCGGGGCCGGGCGGGGCCGGGAGCGAGCCGGCGGGAGGGCCGCGGGGCCGGTGCCTCCTTCCCGCCGGGAGCGGCGCGGGGCCGAGGCGCGGTGCCGCCGGGTGCTGCGGGGCGGCGGCCGGCCTGCTGGTGCCGGGGCTGCGTGGGGCTGTCCCGGCTGGGCGAGCCGCTTCGGAACTTAGCGTAGAGCGAACCCACGTGTGTTTTTTGGGGTAGCGGTGCTGCTGCCGTGCGTTCCTCTGGCAGGAAGAAAGGCTGGAAGCGAGACCCGAGCGCGTGGGTATGGAGCTGGGGGCAACGCTTAGAACGAGGGCTCTTCTTGTGGAGAACGAGGGCTCTTATGGCCTCGGCCGTGGGGTTTGCAGCTCGCTGTACCCCATGAACGCTGCCGGTGCGACAGCTGAGGCTCGGCGCTAGGCTTGATCTGAGCTAAAAGCTCCCTGAAATAAAGAAAACTTCCCCACGCAGCAGAAAGCGGTGCCTCGGCTCCTCCAGTCGCACCTACCCGCGGGTGTTGCTGTGTTTTAGAGCCTTTTTGCGCTGCCCAGCCTGCGTGTTGTTGTCTCAGCTCGCCCGAGGGGCGTGGGATGGGGAGCTGGGCACAATGTAACATTCATAAAGTCGTCTAGAACTCAGCTGTTTGCCCAGAATGGGGATAAATGTTTGAATTGCTTACTGTGTTAGCACGGTGCTGAATAGGAGCCTGTTGTGTGATGCAAATGTTCATGGGAACGTGCCTTGTTTTGTAGCCCAACATACTCCAAATTCCGACTGGGAGAAGAAGGTAACTGACTACTTCAGAGAGAAATTAAAGGAAAACAATGCTACTAATTGGGTAAGACTGTTATTTTCTTCGAGTTACACAGTTCTGACATTACACTCTGTATCTCCGAATCCTTGCAGTGATATCTTCTTAAGAAGCTTTTCCTTTTTCTGATATGCACCTCTGAACGTTAGGCCTTTGTGATGCTTATTTACATTTCAGTTGCTTTAATCTGTGCTAAAACCAAGATGCAAATTCCTGACTGTTACTGCAGCAGCCCCCAGTCCTTGGCTCCAGAGTGCTGGTTTGCCTTGGGCCCCACCTGCTGAGTGCTGCCTGCTGGTGCTGGGATCCAGTAGGTGGCAGGAGCTGACAAACTCTGTCATATTTGGAGGCCAACCCTGCTGGTTTGCAATAAATGTACACAGGAAGTGTTCAAACTGTTCTTTCATGTCCTTCTATCATAATGCTGCAAAATTCAGGTGGGTTAAAGAAATATTTGCTTGGATGTTCACGTTTGAGGAAGAAAAACATCTGCTAAAACTTTTAGAAATCCAGCAAGGGAAAAACCATGCTTTAGGTTTAAAAATAAAACATATATGCTTGAGTTCAAATGATGCTTTAGTGTGAAAGGCTGACAAAAATGGCATCCTGGAGCACTGTTAATTGGATTAGAAACAACGCTTCAAGGTTTGAGCCAAGCAAGTTGGCAGTGGGATATATAAGATAAGAAAGGGGCGGTGGCAGCTTTTGCAACTTTTTTTTTGCTTACTTCACGGTGATACTTAATGCTTATATGGTAGTTGTTTAGGAAAAGCTTTCTTTTACAGGTCCCATCGCTGAATGATGTTCCTGTACATTACCTGAAGCCCAACAGTTTAGTGAAATTTCGCTGTATGGTTCAAGATATGTTTGATCCTGAGTTTTATATGGGTGTATATGAAACAGTTGACCCCAACACAAATGCACGTGTAAGTGAAATACTGACTTATTACTTCTGTAAATGCTTAACATTTTCTTCTTCCTAGTCATCGCATTTCTCATGTTTCAGAGCTAAAGCTATGCAGTCTGGCACTGTCTGGTGGTAGCTTATTATATAGCATCAGTAACATAACAGTATTTATAATTCTCTTGGGGAATTTAGGAAATAATATTGCTTTAAAAATATATATTTTTGAAGGACTTACATGCAATAATTTAGATGTAAATCATATTCAAGCTGCTGGCACACAGGGAATGATTGCATTGTTTTTTCTTCTTGACAGGTTTTGCATTTTGGTAAATACAGAGATGTGGCAGAATGTGGGGTAAGTTACACAAGTTATATGCATTTTGGGATGCAGTATTAGTTGGAAAGATATGATTTATAAGCATAGTGTAATTTGGTGCTCACAGTGGGCTCCTGGAGATAAGTTTCTTAAAACTGAAAGTTAATCTCAGAATGGGACAGCAGAGTATTCCTAATTGCTTGCCTGCTTTCCAAGTTCAGCAAAGTTCAAGTCAATTCTGTTTTAATTAACATTTGTTTTACTGGGTGGGGTGGGAGAGAGAGCACTCCAGACTGTTTAGATTCTCTGTTTCATGAGATGTAATCAGGCATCTTGTGAGTTCTGACTAAGTAGCTGAATATGTGAATATTTAGTTCTAAACAGAAAAGACACTAATCAAGTTTTTAACGTTGTTATTTCTATTGGCATTCTAGCCACAGCAGGAAATTGATATGAACTCCTCACAAACAGTCACCTTGGAAAGACAGACGTTCTACTGCGTTCCAGTGCCTGGTGAATCAGCATGGGTGAAAGAAATATCTTTTTTGTCTGAGCTAGTGCTGTGTTATGCAAACATTATCATCAATTAACTCATTAACTGTAAGGAGACAAATTTATGTAACGTTTCTCAGTTTTGGGATTGTTTTGTTTTTCACTTCAAGTGAATCAGGACAAGTAATGACTGGAAAATCTTGAAAATTTCTGGTAATTTATATTTGTGCATCTTTAGAAAATGGGAGACTTAATTTGAGCTGGGGCATTCATTGATGTTTTCTGGTGAAACCAAGACATTGCTACATAATAAGAGTCTGACTAAAGCACCTGTAGAAACACTTGCAGCATGTTAGACAGTAATTCTTGGAGTGGATATATTGCATTTTGTAAAGTGATGCGAATTTGATGGTTAATCTGATGACTTGATATTTCACATTTTGAATTCAGAATTTAAGAAAACTACTTATCATTGGCACAGAATGCCAATAGCACTTGAATATGGTGGGTTTTTTGGTGAATAAGTGATTGCTAGGAGTTAATTTGCGGGGAATGCTCATGTCAAAATCTTGCAGCAATGGAAATCTCAGGTGAACCTGACTAGTGTGAAAATGCCTGAATCATTTCAACATTTGTACATCGCATGCTAATGAAAACACCACTATATTAGATGTTGCAAAACTTATTTATACCTGCAGCACAGCTGGCATCTTACAAGTATGTCAGCATTTCCTATGTATTCCTTTTCTAAGTAGTCCTAATAACTGTATCAGGTAGTCTTGCTTCGACAACCAGCATGTTGCCTGGGCCTGAAGAAACTTCTAATACTTTGTTCAAAATAGGAGATGACATCAGGTTAGCGGAGCTTACTTTCCCTGAATTTTTCTTAGCTGAGTGTGGTGTTGTCCTTAATCCTCAATTTTACGCGTATATCAGTGCCAGCCAAGCTCGAGTTAGTCCTTCAACATCCTACACACCAAGTCGCCACAAGAGGAGCTATGAGGAAGATGAGGACATGGAGCAACATCCATCTAAACAGAAAGAGCAACACATGGGTAATGGTCATTACTGATGACTAGATGTTAAGGCATTTTGTCAGGCTTTGCAGAAATTCAACTTTAGAAATTGAAGTATTTGCAATTGTTTGAATCAGCAGTGTTAATGCAGCCTCTCGTAACCAACTTGGTGTTTTAGACATCGTCAGTGGCTTAAATAGTGTGGGAGAGTTTATGCTGTTGGGCACTGTATATTCTATGACTCGTTGGTTTTATGACCTAGAGTTAATAATTCCTAAAATAAATATTTTGTTCATCAGCACTTGTATGCTGCCTTTTCTAGGAGTTCTCTCTTAATTTCTAACTGTAGAGCATGTTTTGTGGTAATCTGGAGAAAATTAGTTTGTTTTCTCTCTTGATTTGGATGTTACTGTTTAAATTGAGGTCAAACTGCATCTTAATTGGGTGCTGCTTTGCTCCAAAGAATACTGTATTTCTAAAGAATATCCTCTAGCCTCACCTTTTTCTTTTGTGAGACTTACAAATTCAGTTTCATAAAGGAGGCAGATCAATACCAGATGCTTTGTAGCATGCTGAAAAAGGCTGTTAGACCTCCTCAGAGGGTGATATTTTCAAACAGTCAGTGTTAGGATGGTGTGCACTGCTTACTGATTTTGTGGACGACTTGTGAACTATTTGTTCTGTTGCTGTTCTGTGGAGACACCACTTAAACTGGCATAGGGGTCTCCTGAACATTTTGACACATTCTCTTCTAAACAAGAGAAAATGGTTAGTTCAAAATGATGAATCCCATTACAAGAAAAATAAATAAAAATCTATCTTTTGTTTGGTGTTACATGGTCATGAAGTTCACTTGCTGCATTTTAGGTTTTTGTATTTAGACGGATGAATTCCAGAGTAGGTTTTCATAATGTTTCTTTACTGCTGAAAATCTAAAGATGATTAGTGCAACCTGCTTTGTTGATGTATATTCTCCCCTCTATGATTATCTGTTTTTTAAACTTGATATGCAGAAATATATTGCCTTTGCAGACCTGTACAATTTAGAAGCATTTAGTTGATGCGTTTGAAGCGTCTCATGTTGAAACCGAGGTGGTTTGGTCGTGTTTGGAGTTTTTTAAGACACGCAGATTTTACTTACTCTCCTGTTTATCTTGGTAATGTAAAATATGTTTGTGATGCTTTGCTATTTTGAGTCAAAATATCCTTTGATAAATATGCTCTTTTTTTGTTTGGCTTCTTGTTAAATTAGTGTAATTCTATGTTGCTTGATGCAGTGAGTTGTTTACTTTGCTTTTCTATTAAGGAGTGTATGAACCCTTTGCTTTCAGGCAGTGGAGGTGATAGCCATGGATGTGGGGAGCCAAAAAGATTAGAAACTGAAGCTTCTGCAGGTCATCATCTCATTTCTCCCAACTGTTCACCTCCTCTTGACTTAAATTTTCCATTGCCAGGGGAGAAAGGACCAGCATGTCTTGTAAAGGTAAGAAAAGGTGATGAGCACGGTTATGAGGCAGACAATCTGAAGTAGCAGGGGGAAAAGTCTGTTAGTAACTGCTCAAATGTCTAGCAGAAACTGGCTTCTGGATACTTGCTTCTAGGATTTGCCCTCTTAAGCAGGAATTTGTGATGGGAAAAATTAAAAGCAACACAGCAGATATCTGTATTGTGCTTGAGCTGGTCTTTGATTCTATGCTGTCTATGAAACTTTTAACACTACTTCCTTGTCTCGGGCAGGTATATGAGAGCTGGGATACCTTCAAAGTCAATGATGTTCTGGAGGTGTATGGTATTTTGTCTGTGGATCCAGTGCTGAGTATAGTGAACAATGAAGAGAGGTAAGGCTTGGGTGGTATGTGGTTCTGAAGTGAAGTACACTTATGTTAATATGCCAGTTATTTTTGTTTGTCCCTTTAATATAGGCAGGGGAGCGTGTGAATACACAATATTTACCTCTTCAGTTGTTACCTAAAAGCTTGATGTGGAAAGCATTGGATTCACAGTCCTGTAAACTAAAGCCCATTATACTCTAAGCATCCATGGCCTTGGATTCATGATGCTTGTTTTCCTATGTTGTTACACAGTCTGTAAAGCAGAAAGTATTTCTGTAGCTAAGTGTTCTGTGCACTTTCATACCTATTAAAATATCAGTGGCTGAATGAATAGTGAATAAATAGGGAACAGTTCTTGAGTAGGCTTTAAAATGATAAAATATAGTTAATACTCTTGCAAACTGTAGAATACAAAATATAAATACAAAATGTAGAATACAAATACAAAATTTGTGTCTTCGTAGAAGGTGGAAGTGACTAAAATGATTGTAAATAGGGTTGGTTTTTTTCTGCTAATTAAAGTGTATTATCATATTATACTGCTGAAGTTTCTGGTTTCACCTTCTGTTCTCTGATTACTTGCTTGAAAAAAAATGCAGTTATAAACAAATCAATTTTAAAAAATAATCTTAATGACTGATCTAACACAGATACTACTAATGCCTTGAGCAGTTGTGCTTCAAATAAATTATTTGTGTTAGTAACTTTATTTATCCTTTTAATAAATCCAATATCAAGAGTGCAGTAGGAGTCCTTTATAGTGCCAGCTTCTTAAAAGTAACTCAGCCTGGTCAGCTGCTTTTGGCTATCATCTGTCTGACAGAAAGCTAATCCTGCACTGACAGATCAGTTGGTGTCATACAGTTATTTATTTGTTTTCTGCATGTCATTCTATCACAAATAAACAACATGGTGGCATTTAGCAACATCTTGAATGCAAAGAGTCTAAACAAAAGATTTTTTTTTAATAGAAAGAGACAGTAATCTCAGAGGGTTGCTGGAGAGACCTTGAAGTAATGAAGCCTTTCAGCTGTTAAGGCTAGTAAAAGTTCATCAAACTTGTACCAATCCTTGCCATCATATTATACAGTCACCTTTAGATTTTAGTTTCTACATAACAAATGAAAATGGCCTAAAAGGGATTTTGTAAGGCACCATTGAGAAGACCAAACCTTGTATAACTGAACTCTAAATTAAGAGGTAACACATGTAAGCTACAGTTGATGTACGCTCAGATTTTTTTTCTCAGCCACCAGTACAGCTGGTATGGGACTGCCTTGAAGCTTTTACTGGCGGTGCCTAGAACCAGGCAGAAAACAATAAAAAAGTAATGCATATTTCAGAAAAAGTTGCTGGATGTATTTAATATCATTCATATTTGCTGGATAGAACAGTGTGTAACACTTGATGTGAAGTTGCATCTTATTAAGTGGTGCAGCAAATAATAAATGCGGTCTGTTTTGGGTGGTTTTTTCCCCAGGAATGTAAGAATCCATCATCCTTCTGACACTAATGGAATACAACTTCCTTTATCAACTATGCTTTGGTGTTTCTATATCATTGGTTATACATTGTGATTTTGTATTTGATGTTTATAAAAACCCTGAGGACAGCTCCTATAGTTTGAATACAGAATTTACCAAGTGTTGGGAACAGACATGCTGTGTTCATGCCGTGGTTCCAATGGCTTATGCTCAGGTGGAGAAAAATGTTTTTGGAGCATTTTCTAGTCTGTTTGTTCCCTTGCCTAGGGATAGCTCAACCCTTGATCCTATGGAGTGCATGGACACGGCAGAAGAACAGAGAGTACACAGTCCTCCATCCTCATTAGTCCCCAGAATCCATGTGATTTTGGCACATAAACTGCAACATCTTAATCCATTACTGCCTGCTTGCCTTAATGAAGAAGAGAGTAAAACCTGTGAGTACACTTCACTCTACATACTTGTAAATGTGCAGTTTGCAGGTACCTATGGACAAGTATTTCTTTGCTCAGAGACAAATGCATCAGTGTAACATCTGTATTTAAATTTTGTGAAAGTAGAAGAGCCATTCAATGCCACAGACAGCTCAAAACACGAAAGTTAGTATTTATGTGATGCTTATATATTGCTGCTTCTGAACTAAATGTGAGTTGTATGAAACATACTTAGCATCTACAAGCTTAAAGACTTTACCAAGCTGCTCAGCTGTAAGATTTCATTTGCTTTCAAATGCAGTAGTGAATTGCTGGAAAACTATATTTTCAAGTTAATACTGCAGTGTAAGTAAACATGTGCAACATAAGGAATCATAATGCTGTGAGAACAAGAAAAAACAGTTCTGGTTTTTAAGTAACTGTCATTCTTTGTGGCTGATATTAGTTTTCTTGTTACTTATTGCACGTAAACATCTAATTGATGCACTTCATCCCTTCCTTGCATACATTGTATTGGTTGTTTTGAGCTCTGTTGTGTGTAAGGGGATTTTTTTGTTTCTAATTTGGTATGACTATGCTATATATCTCAGAAATTTGACTCCAAGCATTATAGACTTCTGCAAATGTATTATTTGTATTTATAACATTATTTAATTAAAAAAAAAAAATATTTCAAAGGAAATGCTGTGCAACTGAAGTTACCCAAAGCCAGTAATTGTTCTGTGGGTAAACAAATGAATGTTTACTTTTCTGTCTTGGATTAACCACTTTCCTCCATCTGATTGTAATGGAAAACAAGCTTTATGTAAAGAAAAGGGGAGGGGGAGGTGAAGAACTGCCCATTTTCTGACATTGTCTTCTGCTCTTTTATCAGTTGTGTCTAATTTCATGTCTGAGCTGTCACCAGTTAGAGCAGAGTTACTTGGGTTCCTCACACATGCCCTCCTGGGAGACAGTTTAGCTGCTGAGTACCTTATATTGCATCTCATCTCTACAGTGTAAGTATTCAGAGGTTTTTTGAGAATTAAGTGTTCGTCTTCTTTTAAAAGACATGTCTTTTTTGGGGTTCTTCACCATTCTGTAAATGAACAGCAGAAACTACTTATTCCAGCAGTACTTAGTCCAGATAGTTGTCCTGTCATAGTAGGCAGTATTAGCAGACTTCATTCCGTGGAATACCAGAAGGTTTTGTTCAAAGGCCAGTTTCATCCTTTCAGTGTTGCTTTGAGAGCTGGCAAAAAAAAAATCTCCTAGATAAAAAGTTTAAACAGAGGTACAATATCAGTACATTTGTATGTACACACTGTTCTTTCTGGCTGTGAACGCTCTGATACTTGGATCGCAAGCTATTTTTTTCCTCTTATCACAAAAGAATTTGAAATTTGTCAAGAACTGGCAGAAGATGTACAGTAAGAAAAGGGAGAGGAAAGCTGAGGGCAGGTAGAGGAAATGAACAAGCATAGTAAGTAGGGAAATTGAGCAATAAGAAAGAGAAAGCACGGAGTATTTGCAGCGGAGCAGAAGGAGAACAGAACATATTATAAGCACTATAAATATACTGCTTTTGTGCAATGCTGCAAAGCCTTCCAAAGCAGAGTTCAGCCTATTTTAGCTTCATGGACGTTGGAGAAGGAGCAAAAATGAGACTATTATTTATGTATATATCAATACTGAAATCCTGCTAGCTATCAGAGATTGATCACAGATATCACTCAGCTTGATAAGAGAGATCGCTCAGTTTGAGCGATATCTCTGATCACTCTGTTAATCAGATACTTCCCTAACCATGTTTCTTTTTGATTTTAGTTATGCGAGACGAGATGTGCTTCCTCTGGGAAAATTCACAGTCAACTTGAGTGGATGTCCAAGGAACAGCATCTTCACAGAGCACATCTACCGCATCATCCAGCAGCTTGTCCCAGCTGTAAGAATAACATCAGCGTTGCAGTGTTTTTAGTCATAAATGTTGGGGTAATTGGCCAAAAGAAATAGACTAACTTATTAAATAAGTTGCTGATCTCCATCTAAGGGGCAGGTAGAAGTGGAGATATGGCTCTCTTCCAGATGAAGCCTGTATTATCCTAGTTGTATAAGATGAATATGGAAACAGGTCCTATCTTTGTGTGTATTAAACTGTCAGACAGATGCATCTATCTTTTCAACATTTCTTAAGCCTTTAGTATTTGGATGTTTGGAATAAAATGTGTTCTGTATTATGGCAGCAGGTTTTATTTTACTTCCTGTGGAGGTTCACAGTTGCAGCTCCTGCTAAAGAAAAAATTACTTACTAGAGAGGTGAGAGGAGAGGAGATGTGCGATGAGTTTCTTTTCTCCTTGCAGTCCTATCGCCTACAAATGACCATTGAAAATATGAACCAATCACGATTTATCCCACGCAAAGACTACACAGCTAATCGCTTAGTCAGTGGAATACTGCAGCTCGCCAGCAACACTTCCCTTGTCATAGATGAGACTCAGCTTGAGCAAGGACAGCTTGACACAAAAGGTAATTTTTTTTTATATATGTATATATTCAAAGACAGTGGTGCTAATTGTGTCCCAGTGACAAGTTTCTGTTAGAAAACAGTTGGTGGTTTCCATACTCTATTTCATTGCTTGAACTAGCATGCTGCTAGTTCTGCTGCCTTCTCAGACAATTTAATGCATGATCTTTTGGTTTTGCTTACTGGAAGTTTCTGCTGTTTTGCTCAGAAGTGCTTGTATTGAGTCAGAACGAGTAGCTCTACAATGAAAAGTCCTATACCTATTTTTTATTTTTTTTTTTTCCACAAGAGTCCCTTTATTAAGGAGTACTATCTGTCCCAGACCTCAGGTGACCTGTAGTGAAACAAAATGGTATCTCATTTGGTATGATTGTGTCACAGAGTGCTCTGGGCAGCATGTCTGATGCTTGATGGAAGAGGCTGCTGGTTTGAATGAGTCTTCAGACCACACTACCTCTGAACCATTACAATGGTTTGCCATTTCTGTGAGGCAAAGAAAGTGGGGAGAGCATACACTGCCTTATGCTTTATACATTTACTGTATATATGAAAACCATCCCTTGAAACCCAACTTAAATGTGAGGCATACAAAATTAGCTATTGTTTCATAGAAAAAAAATGGATGGTTCTGTCATGTAAGCTGATGTAGTGTTGCACAGTGTGCTTTCTACAGAGCTTTAAGTAATAACCTACATAAAAGAAGAATTGTAGTACCTTCTAGAAGCTCAATAACTGGAGAATGTATAGTATGGCTATATATGATGTTTTGAGGAAAGACTAATATCACTGGAAGTGACTGTTTTAAAAGAAGAGTGCTACCTTCACAAGTCTGAACTGTGTGATGCTGCAGGACTGCTGGGCCTCTTTAATGAGTGGTTGGTGCTCTGTCCCACTGCAGCTCAAGGGTTGGCAGAATTAGCCAGGCTGAGATTTCAGGTTGATACTATTGAAAAACATAACTTCTTTTTGAATTATTACTACTGGAAGTTAGTTATTTGCTTCTGAGCCTTTGCATGTATTTTTTGTGGGGGGAGGCTGTTAATCTGGCTTTACTCAAGCGACAAAACTTTGAAGAAAATATTTAAACTAATAAAATTCATCTCCTTATTAGTTCCCAAACAAAATCAAAACAACAAACCACAGCATCTAACAATTAAATGCTGCTCATTTAAAAACATTGGGGGGGGGGGAAAAAAAGCAGTTTGAAAGAATGGTCAAACTCCAAAGCTGTCAGAATTTTTCTTGCTCTTCTAGGTGTGCACAATGTGAAAGCGTTGGGTAATCTGATAACTTGGCAGAAAGTGGATTATGACTTCAGTTACCACCAGATGGAATTCCCATGCAATATTAACGTTCTTATCACCTCGGAGGGCCGATCGCTCCTACCGGTATGGCGAGATCTTTTTGAATTTGGGGAATAATTACTGTTAGTAGCTACTTAAAAACACTGAGCACACTGTTCCAGGGACGAGCGAAGATACAAGTGAAGACTGGAAGGCAATCTTATGAGCAGTGATGCGTGTAAGAAAGTCACCTTTCTTGCTTCTTGGTTGAATACTGATGGCAAGATAGTGACTGAAGTTATCAATGCGCATTACAACACTGGGTAGAGCCTGCAGATAGACCATTACTCTCAAAGCTTTATTGTAAAACAGCATCAAGAGGGGTTGGGTGTATGAATGAAGAGCAGTTTGTCTGGCATTGCCCCTTGAAAAACAGAGTAGCCTAATGTTACATCTCTGACTGCTTGCATTCCAGCTTTATAAACTGAGAAACTGCACTTTTCTCAAAGGGAAACTGACTTATTGAATAAAAACTTCATGCTGGATTTCAAAAAGGGAATAGTTAAGTATTTAAAGAAGGAATTGTCTTGCCTAAATTCTGAGACTTTTGCCTTGGAGGTTAAATCTTGGAGTAGCAAAAACATGAAAAGGGATGATGTGTAATTTTATTTTTCAGTCAGATTGCCAAGTCCAGTTACAACCACAGATAATTCCACCAAACATGGAGGAGTACGTGAACAGCCTCCTAACTGCAGTGCTCCCTTCTGTGTTGAACAAATTTCGAATTTACCTAAGTTTACTGAGACTGTTGGATTACAGCATATCTGATGAAGTGACAAAGGTATGGAAAACTTCACTAGTTGACTTTCAACTTCATCTTCAGATAGAAAGTGCCTTAATATGTTACTGTACTTGCTCATTTCTCTCCCAGGCAGCAATTGTTGAAAGCTCTTTAAAAAAAAAAAAAAAGAAGCATTTTATTGTCATGGATGTGTGTGTCTTCAAGAATTTGTACTCACGAGTGCTTCAGTGTATAGAGTTCATACACATCCTGCTTGCTAAAATCATTTTGAAAATAATTATATTCAAAGATGAGCAAGCCTGTTTTTATTCAAGCTGATTTCCTGACATTTCTCCTGTAATCTAAGGATAGTTAAGGTGTTTGAATACTGAAGCTCCTTTATTGCCACTTAGTTGTTTGCTGTACTGTTTATAGGCTGTTGAAGAAGACTTTGTAGAAATGCGCAAGAATGACCCCGAGAGCATAACTGCTGATGACCTGCACAGAACTCTGCTTGTAGCCAGGTGGGTAGTGCTGTTAGTTTGAACTGAAAACTTTGTAGCAAGCAGGAGCCAAACTCATTTAATGCTGACACTTTAAGACAGGTGTGTGAGGAATCTTTTTCCTCTGTTTCTGTCAGTTTCTTAACCAGGCAGAGTTCATCCTCTGCTTTCCAGTTTCTAAGATGCTGACAATTGTTTTTAAGCTGCATTAGGTTACCAAGTGTGAAACCATCAACAAGTTCTTCCTTAACTGCTCTTTCTGCTCGTCCAGGTTCCTGTCTCTCAGCGCGGGGCAGACAACACTGTCAAGAGAGAGGTGGCTGAGAGCAAAACAACTGGAGGCACTGCGTAAAGCCAGACTTCAGCAGCAAAAGTGTGTTAATGGAAATGAACTTTAATGTTTTGTGGATGTCATGATAAAAATTTGTCTAATCCTAGATGGAACCCATACTAAGATTGGGATATTGTTTATACCAGTTTTTTTGTAGATAATTTATACCAAGATATTATGGATATTTACCCTTGCAATCTGAACACACTATCTCTGTTCAGCCAGCTAAACATATTTTATGAAATTTTTTTGGAGCCTGTTTTGTAATTGAGAATTGGTAACACTGAGCAAATGATTTGATATTAAAGTTTAATACTGAATTCGTGTAAACTTATTTCCTTTAACAATGGGAAAATGTAACCTCTTACCCTTATAGCAGGGGTAGAGTCTGTTTGGGAATAAACTGCTCAGCAGCAGCCTCTTCTGTAAGTTTAACTTTGGACTTTAGGCAGCCAGGGCTCTGCAAGGTGTGTTGTTGCCCTCTGAGCAGCAGAATAATACTGATTATTGTGCAGTATGAAGAATCAATTTAAAATTATCTAAGATTCCAGTATGAAACTCATCCTGATTGTACTTAAAGACAACTCTCACTAACAGGTCCCAAATGAGCTTTACATTTCAAGCTATTTCAGAATAACAGGGACAACTGATACTTATGTACTCATATAAGCCACATCTTACTATCTACATGATTAGATATGGTTTGTATGAATAATATCAATTAAGTATTAAGAATGGTCTCTATCTTATACTATACAGTTTGCACTGATGGTCACAAGAATCTCCCTGCCCTAATATGATTTGCAGAACTGGTGGAACAAGAGTGGTTTGAGTGAAGTAAATACTGAACTAATGTGGAGTAATCCATAAAGGTGGTACAAGGGTAGGGCTTCTGTTCCCATGGAGAACTTAAAGTATATGAAGCAGTGCTAGAGTTAATTCTAGATGAGACTAAATATTCAATTCTTTTGTGAACTTTACATTAAGCCTCAGCCACCTTACTTTTTGAGTGAGACAGTGTTAACAGGAAGCTGCTAGTTAATTGCATTTTCTGTTCCAAGCACAATGGTAGCTGCACAGCAGAAGCAACTTGAAATTGTTTTGTCTGCAACTTAATGGTACTCAATTATAAAAAAAAAAAAAAAAATACACTTGACTTCAGCCAATATTGTTTTTTCAGCTTAAAGATGTGTTTATCTAAAACCTGGCTCCACTCTGTGGAAAAATACAAAACTACAGCCTGTAAATGTTTTCTTAATGATGATTTTGTTATGGTACTGTCTCTTCAAGAAAATAAGACATCTTATAGAAAGAAGCGAGCTCCAGTGTGTAGTGTCACACACCTGCTTCCTATATTTTCTGAAGCTGCTAGATAACCTTGACAACAGCAACAAGGGCTGAAATTTTAAGGGTGGGTGTATGGTATGTGCACTTAAGAGCGCTGCTCTCTCCATGGTGAAATGTATGGAGGGAGCATAAAGAAACCCTGTTTTGGCTGCATGCTTGCAATGAGATGTTTTGTAGCTTCCTTTTTCTATTTGCAAAGCATTTAAAAGACTAGCCAAGATGAGGTGAGTTACTTTCAGACATGCTCTTACCTCTGCCTTAATATCAGGCCTCCTTGAAACTGAAAGCTATTTCAAGCATTAAGAGTATGTTAATGTTTATCACACACTAATTGACAGATTCTGAAAGTGGTCAAGGCCAGGTTGGATGGTTGATGGCAACCAGCCCAGAGTAAGGGTGGAGGAAGCAGGTGAGCTTTAACGTCCTCCCAAAGTCCTTTTGTGCTTGTATGAATGCAAGTATTCATATAGGTCAGTTTCTCTTTCCTACAAAAATAATGACAATTTCTTCCAGCTATTACAGCTGTGTGGGAATTCTCCCTCCCCCAGAAGCTATACAAGTAACACATCTTGTCTTCAACAGTTTTTTAGGAGCATCTTTATCTTCATGGATGTACATATGACTCTTTCCCTTCAGGCTGATGTCCTAGCACTGCAACTCCAGGAGAAAATGATAGAAGGTCTCTGCCAGATAAAGAGTCAAAGCAACCTCTCCCCTCCTTTGGAACTTAAAATTCCAGAGTTACATAGTAGCATATACCTTGACAACATGCCAGGAAGCATCTTTTGGTTCTATTTTTTTATTAAAATATTTCATATATTGTTTACATTAAAATACAGCAGTAGTTTAATTTTAAATAGAGCCACAAGTATAGACACTCAAAAAATCCCAAACCCACATCACTTCAGTAAAACAAATAAATAAAGTTTCAGACAATTAGGTTTAGATGAAGATTAGACAATGATCTCAAATAAACAAGTCCTAAGACACTGTACTAGCCTACCCATGACACTATTTTTAAAAACACCACGTGCAGCCTATCTACAGTACATGTACTAGAACAGAGAGGCACTGGCTCTATAACAGTAGTTAGAGTAGGTAGAGTTAGAGTAGGTAGAGTTACAAACCACAGCATAGCAACATCTGCTTTTGGATAATGTCCTACACTAGAATGGCAGTGCAAGGCATTTCTGGAAGAGAATGATCTTTTGACACATAGGTGTGCTGTTTTTTGTTTTTTTTTTTCAAAACCTGGTTCCCAGCATGAGTGGAAGGTTAGCCTTATTCTGCAAGTATGCAAAGCTTGAGCTGGTAATGGATTTGGTTTTGATTAGATAAAAACAACTATGCTCTGATGTCAACATTGACTTTATGAAATACTTGCCTTCTGTTTTAGAAGTTAGTTAGGTCTTTCCATCCGGACAGTTAGAATATACTAGAAAAGTGACAGCATGGGGAGGTCACAGTGCTTGAAGTTCAGGTATCTGGCTGATCTTATGATACACTAACTCAAAATTTCAGCATGTTGCCACTATCTAGAATTTGGATAGAGGGTATAGAGCAGCTTTAATGTAGGAGAAAAAAAAAGAGCATTTGCCTCACTTCCCTTCACCTCAAATCTACAAGATAAATTTGCACTGCTGGATTGTGGATATTTCAGATTGTAGCAGGATATCATATCTTTACTGAAAGCGTCCCAGGCAGTGTGGAAAGAAAAGAACAGCAAGAAGTCTTAATTGCTGATTAACGTAATTAAATACAAAAAAAACCCACATTTCTCATTGTAGAGGCACAATTCATAGAAAATTGCATCTAAAACTTCAATGAAAACAAGTAAAAATACTAGTCCAAAAATAAATAACATGTAATCTACTATTAAGAAGTTATTTTGCTGGTGCAGTGCAAGGTAAGTAAGGTCACAGAAGTGCAGTATAATAACCATTTTAGTGTAAATATTCTCTACATAAGTCAGAAGAGCTACAAAATTAATCCCAAAAAAACCTGTGCAACAGATTTAAGATAAACAGCATGCTTACTAAGTCCCAGTGTCTAAACTACCTGTTCAAACATGATTTACCCTTCTTTTGTCTCAGCTGCCTAAGGGAATTCTGAAGCCAGAACCAAATTCATTTGCATCTCTTGCACTTACTGTAAACAAGTAATCCATATTTTTGATCCCATTATTCATTAGCAGTTAATGCTACAGTGAACTCCAATATAGGGTTCTTGGGTTTTTGTTAGTCTTTTTTAGAGGTTGGTTTTTTTTTTTTTTTTTTTAAGTATTGGTATATTAAAAGCCACAACAAGAACACTCCATTAACAACTAAATTTGAATTATTCGTGTCTGGCATTGTGTAAACATTTCTTTCAGTTCTTTTTGTTTGATTTCATTTAGAGCTTCTGATTCTGCAGGGCTCTTTTGGACCTTTGCCACAGCATAATTAATTCCTTGAGTCAATCCTGCTTGTGTGATGTTAGCAACCTGGACCATGGAACTGCGAATTTTAGCAAAAGGAGATACAGCTCTGCTGCTGCTACTGTCAGCTGGAGAAGGAGTTGTGTGGAGTCCTGTCTCAGGGATACCAGAAGCAGATCCTGGGCTTCTGTGAGATTTAGTAAAGTCAGTCCCATCAACTGCTAAGAGCTGAGGATTTGGCTCAGAAGATTGTACATCCAGCTTGGATGGCCTGGAAGGAATGCCTGTGATTGTTTCAGTCTTGTTTTCTGCTTTCTTACATATATTATTGCTGGTTTCATTTATTACGTGATGTGGCTCTTGAGAGCAAGTCTCTGCCTCCAAAGCATCTGACATCTTATTTTGAGCATCCTGTACAAATCTCTGGCAGTACACATCAATAGGTTTAGCAAATTCCATCTCTGCATTGTCAGCAGAAGGTACAGGTACATCTTCACAGTCAGACTGGTTAGCTTGAGTGACATGAATCTCAGATGGAACATGAATGCTGATGTTCATATCAGTGCTGCTTACAGACTGGGACCGACTGCCCAGCCGTGGAGCTGAGGCAATGATACCACAACTAGGCAGCACATAATCTATCTGCCCTATGTTCTCTAGAGAGTCAGTTAACTGGTTGTCCTCATCAGATTTAGAATTTGTCAGAAAATCATCTGAGTGGAAAGAATCATTATCTGACATTTCTGTATCAGATTCAGCATGGACTTTAGTATCTACTGCTGGATTCTCTAAAGTTTCAAGGCTACTGTCTGATTTCCAAAGATTAACTTTCAAATTCGGTTTTAAAAAATTAACTTTCACTTCAGGTTTGGCGAAGCTGCCTAACTTCCGAAGATTGCTGATGTTTACGTTGGATTTGGTTTGTTTCACTTTTTGATTGAGAGATGAAAACTTGCTGAGTAAGTAATTCTTGCCTTGTGCCAGGGACCCTCTGTTCTGAGAGCGAATGCCAATGATGTCTTCGTGAGGTTTGCTGCTCTTCCTGGAAGAAAAACCAGTCTCTAGTGTCCAACTAAGAGAATTTCATCTATAAACACCAAGTATTCACCATTTTCCAGTCAATTTCCATAGAGATTGACACTTTAGAAAATGCATTCTTTTCCATACATAAACTGTACCCATACACGCTCGTCAAATTAAAAACAACAAAAACAAAGGTGTGACAGAACAGCATCCAAACAAGGAAACTGATTTGATGTCTGTGTATCCTTACATTTCCTACTCTGTTTATGATCAATCTATGTTGAGATTTAGTATTTAGTATTTAGGGCCTGTAAGCAAAATTTTCTTGCTTCTTTTTCCAGCTGAGCAGAAATTGAAATGATAGCCCAGTAACCAGATGCATAAGAAAGTTACTGAGATGCATGCTCTGATTGTTGTGCAGCACAACACAAAACTGTCAAGCAAAAAACATTTTCTAGCTCATGTAGTTCGAACTGGAATGAACTAGAATGTAGAATGTGTTAAATATCAATTAGCCATCCTCTTATTTCTACTCCACTGTTCTTTTTAAATGATTTCTAACACCTCACCAATATTTGGAGATACTAATTACTTTTAAGTTCATTATATCTCATTAGACAAATTATCTGAAAGTAGTACTTTAGAACTATTCTCTCAGTGAGATTGGAAAAATGAAAACTTACGTGCCATTCTGATTAATACACAGGTGTTCATTAGTTCAGATTCCAGCCACCTCAGAAAACAAGCTATTAACTCAGGCACAAAAGTCTATATTTCTTGGGAAGTAAAGTACATTCTTCATTTTTGTTTTTAAAACTTCATACCACAGTTCTTGCATTTATCTGTTTCTAGACCATACATTTAAGAAGCTTTATTTCTTGTAAGAACAAAAATAAAGCCTTGGACACTTCACATTTACTCAGACTAAGTATTTGCATCACTACATTCTGGTGTACAAGACATTAGCAATTTTTTTCTTTTCCATTTCTGGTTTATAAAGAAATATCAATTCTAAAAACACCAACTCTGCACTGAGAAACTCTGTCCAATAATCTAAGACATTCTTAAGAGCTAGATCTTCTCATCTTCTATCAACGTTCTTCACACAAGACCCAAAATACTACCTGGGTTTGTTTAACATTTCAGATGAATTAATCTAAAAAGTTTTATTTCCCCTAACTGCAGAACTAGTAAAACAGACATCAAAATTCAGCTAGAAATTAAAATTCAGACTAATAATGAAGTATCCAATTTGCAGTATGTTACTTACATTTGATAGCAAATATTCTATGTAGTCATAAATGTACAAAATAGTATTCTTGTTTGTACTTTTAAGAAAGCATCTGTAGATAGCGACCACTGAAAGCACCATAACAAATTAATATCTAGCACAATTGCTAGAAGCAGGATTGTTTCTTTTTGGTATTACACATTTTACTTTTGTAATCTTAGCCCCTGAGAAGACAGCAAAACTGGGACAAAGATTTGCATGATTAAAGCACTCACCTCTCCAGCTTTTTCTCAATAATAGGCACATCTAATCCCATTGCTTGTTTTGTGATTCGCAGCATTTCTGCAATGCACTGAAGAGTGTCTGAAATCCAATTAGCAGCTTGTCAGATTTTAAAACTTGACATCTCCAGATCCCAAGATTTAAAATTAGACTTTTTTTTGGTAACTTAATTAAGGTTGGGTTTCCCCCCCCCCCATTCCTTAGTGTAGTTACACTCAAGTTGCAACTGAGCTTAGAAATAAGTTTAAGGAAACAATAGACGCTCTTAAGCACTAGATACTGGGCATTGGGTGTAAATGAATCACTGCCATGACACATTTGCAGAAGGAACACATACAATTACACTTAGTCTAAATCCTTCTTGACTAAATTCAGTGCTCCAGGTAAAGAGTGATGGTTTTCCCTATTAGCATTTCTTTTATTTAGTTAAACAAGAAGCAAGAACGTTTCTAGACGCTGCTTTCACACCAATTTCTTATGCTCATTAGGAGCCAATATGAAGCCTGTTTTATCCTCATGTCTACATCTTCATTACTCCAAAATTGCATGCCTTCATTCTAAATGGAAGTATTGCTTTAAAACCATATCTGAAGCTTATTTTTCTCTGTTAAACAGTTCAGTGTACACAGGACATACAGCTTTCTTCCCCTTCCTCCAGTAGAAGAGTTAGTTATATTAAAATAACTTATGGTGGATAACTTTTAACAGCTATGGAAAAGGTTTTCTTAAGGAAAGCTGGTATAATTAGTACACTTTCACATATAAAGCTTTTACACAAGAAACAAACCTTTTCCATCTTCATCTGGGTTGCGTACCACAGCTCGAAGGGTGTGAAAATATCCACTTGTGTCCTTGTACTTGTAGTGTAGCCTCATGCATGAGAACTTGGGTTTGCCGAAGAGAGTAGGCTCAGGCCCTGAGAAAAAACAAAGTTAGAAATATCCTTGAATGGAATAATGAAAAAGATGTTGTGGAGACTCTACCTAAACAAGAAAACAGCTTCACTTTTTCTTTAAATAGTATAGGCATTTTAAATGAAAGGTTTTCCACAATAACTAAGTTATCAATTACTTTCAAAGAGCAATGGGACTTCACGCACATTGTTATAATCCTGCCAGTTTATTATAGACCATCCTCTCAGATAGCAGAAAAATTCTGCATCCATATATTCACTGAACAGCAGGAGGTGTTTATATATAGGGCGAGCTGTTGTTAAGAGCATTCAAGAAACACATGCATTATGTATTCTTACCTATTTCTATTTTTTCCAGTGCTTCAAGGCTTAGCCTTTGGTACTGATTCACCTTGTCAATTTCATCATCGTAACTAGAAAAAGAATCAAGAGTTTAAAACTTACTAATCTGAAACAAAGCTAGTAAAAGTAAACTACACAAAGTAAGAGAAGCTGGTAACTTACTAGGCCACGTAGTAGGCAGAATTAGAAAGCAACAGCAGAACATCCACATCTTTATGAGTGGCATCAATGAGACTGACAGAGGAGAAAAAGAGAAATAAATAGTTTTCCTTTCACAACTGTAATGAATCCACAGCATATTTCAGGGACCTTCTTTTACAATGACCCCTCGTACTTGGAAGTATAGACTAGCTCAAATAGGTCAGTAATCAACTCTCACAAGCGCCTAAGATGCTAACAGATTAAGAGAAAAAGAGAAAAAGGCAATCCAAGTGATGAGTCTATGCACATCTTTGCTATTTTAGATGTTAAAGTCTAGCCTGCAGAAGATCTAACCATTGTTTATCTATTATACATTAGTATACTCTGAGTTTGATAAGGAGACATCAATGAAATTAGAATTTATGCTCACTATTATCATGAAGAGCCACCTAGGATTTCCTACTACTCATCTATTACACAAGAATTTAACATGATCCAGTATGGCTTTGAAGTCAAGTTATTCTTCCTCTACAAAGCAATAAGGAAATACAGACCAAACAGCCCCTTCTGGAACTCAGGAGTGTTAAAAGTCCTGCCTACCACATTTTCCACATATAGCCAGATGATTTTTCAAAAAACTCAAGCACCCACCATTTTTATGGCATCTGAGATAAAACCCAACATTTGTAAGACCTTTACTCTTACAACTACTCAACTGTAGTTCACAGCATAACATCTGTATTTGTTTAACATACCAGTTATCAAAGTTATATAACTTGTCAGAAGTAATCAACAGAAGATGTGATAGCAGCTGGTCAGTTACGATTGGTCAGTTTATTCAACAAACCTTGGGTCACAATCAATAAGTGCCCATCCTCCATGGAATTTTTCATCATCTGGTAAAAGCAGTTTCATGTAGCTCTGCAAGAGCTGACTAATCAATTCCTGATGGCTTCTCAGATTCTCTTTGTGCAGGGCTTCATGCTCCTTCTCTTTTGTAAATATGGAGTAGAGATCCTCTGTTACAGGGATACCCTGCATCAAGTCTAGATTTAAAAACACAATATATCAATAAGAAGCTGCCAACAGTTCAGCAATATACAACAGTAGTCTGTGAATTGCTTTGTCGATTCCTCAAGTGGTTCATAAAATAGTGAGCTGTAACCTTTTTTGCTGACAGAAGACAAAATTATACCTACAGAGTTCTCAATTCAGGCAACATTCTGTTCAGAAAGATCAATTAACTATTTTTCAAGTACCTACAATTATGAAAGCTTTCCTACATAAATTTGAACTTTCCTTTGTCTAAGAGATGTCATAAGAGAATTAATACTAAAATTAAGTTAGGAACAAATTCTATAGTGATTTATCCTACATATGATTCCACTGAGTTGAGTTTAATGTCCAAATGCTTGTTTCATTTGGTATACACTGCACAAAAATGAATGTTATATATTTACATACACACACCAGGGGCACATAGAAAAAGCAGTCAAAGATGAAGCCAAGAGGATTCTGAGCAGAGTTAAATACAATAATCTAGCTTAACTGAATTTTCATCCTTACCTATGACTGCTTGCCTATAAGCATCCCTGAAACGATTCAGGTAATATCTGTTTGCAGAATTTACTCCATCCTTCATTACTCCTGCCAGCTTTCTTTCACCAGTCCTTGTGAAGTCACCCTGTTACAAGAACATGCAAGTCATGCACACACACAGCTTAGAAGCAGCAGACTTAGCTCAAAAGCTCTGGCATCCTGATACTCCAGACTGAAGAAACAACAGCTCAGCAGTAATGTTCAAATAACTATTTCCATAGACAAGTTGAAAATAAATGTTCTTAGAAAAGCAAAGTATTTCTTATGGCATCATTTGACTCTTCAGAGAATCTTACACTTTTGACAGAAATATAATTGTGTATAATCATAATGAAAAGCTGATCAGATATATGACACCTAACATTCAAGCCAAATGTTCAATAGCTCAGTTTGGGATGCTCAGACACCTCAAAAAAAAAATTGTTGTCCTTTATCAAACAAACAAACATTATTGAAACAACGGAGCTCACTGAGAATGGTTTGCATCTTTTTTTGCCTCTGCTACTAAAGCAAGCTCAGTTCAACATACTGAAGGAAAACAGTACATATCCACACTGCCTCAGAAACAAATTTCTATGCCTTCTTATGCCTTCTGTGAACTAGAAGGTGCATAAGAAGCAATTTTAGTAGTCACACTTCATTAGAGGATTCTGATTATTTTCAGAGAATTTGAGAACTGGTACAGAGTAGTTCTAAAAATCCTGATAAGTACTATTATGAACATCAAGTATATTTCACCTTTAAGTTGAAAGAAATCTCACAATCAAAATGTTAACCCCAGTAGTGAGTAGAGATATCCAACAAGATGATGATCTCAAGCAGAAGAGCTAAAAATTTATGCCTGTAAATCAAGTTCTATTCAGTTAAAGCCAAATACTAGTTAATAAGACAAGAGTGTTGTGCAGTTTTTGATTGCATTAAAAAGACCAGTGTAACAAATAAATCAAAGTTTAGTAGAGAGATTTAAAAACAGATCTAAGTGTAAAGCATTCCTCCTGCATAGATTTTCTCCAGTACCAGATAGCAGGAATTGTTCCAATGGAACAGACAGGAAGTAGCTTCAATTCTATGTCTATGATTTTTCAAAGACTACTAAAAGCACAAGGAGTGGACAGGAAGGGACTTCATGCCTGATTCTTATCTTGTTAGATTGTACTACAACTAATTAAGTAAACTTATGGAATAATAACTAAATTATTATCATCCTACTATCTACATAGCCTGATATTAAGTCCCTCAGGGTACTTTTGAAGTACCTCAGCTGTGCTTAAAAGTACTCTAACTCTGCTTACATAGAAATAATGCATGTTATAAATCTTAAAACTCTTAGCTCACCTAAAAGCAATGCATCTAGACACGAAACTAACAGAATAAAGTTATCTAGAGCCAGCAGTTCCACAAGACACCTGCACACTCAGGTCTTCCTCAGTTTTAGTACAAAATGTTCTTCTGTTAAAAGGCCACAATCTCCACCAGGAAAACAGAGTAGGTGGATAATTCTTCTTCCATAAGACAGCTTTTCCATTGGAGGTAAAAACTACAATGTAGCACACTGCTCCATAACAAAACAGAGAACACTTGACCCTTTACCTTCAAGGCTGCTGTGCCAGCGTACTGCCGGCTTATGGCATCTCCGTTGTTTGCCCATATTATCTGGTAGATTCTATTGCATTTCACCGGCAAAGGCTGTTCTGGAGGCATCACACCCAGTTTTTTGAGCTGGAATTTGACATACTTGTTAATATAAATCCTTCTTATGAAAAATATCAAGAGAACATGACCTGTTATCCATGTTAAAATTCTAAAAGGTTAAACAAGCTAATTACTTTTATTGCTAAGGTGCTCGTGAAGTCAAAGGTTTGAAAATAGAGTGGAATCTCTAGTTGCAAGAAAAGAAGCATGCCATGAAGACTTTTCTTGTAGACACTAAAGCCAGTATAGTCACTTCATCTTCAGACTCACTCCTTCCCCAGAAGAAAACTTTAATAGGAACTTGATATGTTGTGTTTACAATAAAGGCTTGTGTGCTCTTCAGAACACCCAGTACTTTCAGGTTTTCCCAGATAAGTCTCAGGTATAATAACAACTGAAGTCTCTTTCTCCACATACTAAATTGGTAATGCTGTAGAGTTTACCATTCTGAAATTAATACTGTTATATGTAACTGCAGGAGACACTAAGAGTTAGTCCTACTGTAGTGATACCTGGACAATCCTCAATTTGCAACCCAGCATTAAAAATGCTCAAGTATGTTTGCAACATAGGTTAAAATTGATACAAGGCTATTCATTTACTTTGCAAACCCTATTAAGATCCCAACTGACATAAAGCTAATCCTACTGTTCCTAGAAGACGCAAAGGAAAGATGCATGTAATTGTAAATATTCCACTTCATGTCAATCAACTCCCAATGTTTTCTCAGTTACGAATTGATTCTGAAGTGCTCTGGCTATAATTTGAGAAGGACAGAGCACATTACAATAATTATTAAAAAAGGCCTCTCCATGTTCCGTGAAATCATCTATTTAGAAAGATGGCTTTTGAATTTACATTGGTAATGGGAATAGAAACCTGTTTATTATCTGCAAGCAAACAGCAACTGCCAGATAAAAGGGTTAGAGCAATTCAATCTCCGTCTTTATGGAAGGCCCACCTTATTTTCTATCCCTTGCTTTAAGTACAGACAGATTTCTTCATCTTAGGAGCTTCAGTTATTCCCCCAACCAATGCTACATTTATACAAGTACTATTACACACTGGAGAGGGCAGATGATCAAACTGTCTTGGACACCAACGTTATGTTATTGCACATTTTAAACTGAAATGACTAAATCCAAACAAAAGAATGATCAAGATGTGGACAGTCCCTTCCTCTCTGAAGAGAAAGACTAGGCATCACTGTTTTAAAATGATTTTGAGTTATGTTAGCAGCTTCATGGCTCTCCAAGCAGTTTGCAAAGACCCTTTCCAGCAGATGTTAATTTAGCATTATTCAGTAACAAAAACTTCACTGAGCTGCAGGGGTTGGAAGGGACCTCAAGAAATCAAGTCCATCCCCCCTGCTAAAGCAAGTACCATGGAATAGGTCACACAGGTAGGTGTGTTTCCCTGTGAAAAATAGCAAAACTTTGAGGAACTCAATACTTAAAAAATGACATTGGTTATACATGCCTGCTGTTCCATGACCACTCTTGCAATAGCTGCCTGCACTACATTGGTACGATCCAGACAGTCCATGCAGTTAACTCGAAAAATTCCTTCCTGTTTACAAATCACACCAGCTTGATCAACCCTTTCAAGATAAAAAAAAAAATTGAGTGAAAGAATTGTAGTTTATCAGCCCCTGCAGCCACAGAAAGTTTTACTATAGTTTGATTTCACTCATCATCACACCATGTGATGCTTAACTACCATTCTTCTCAGTTATTCAAGAACACATTGTTTTTAACAGTAGAGCTGTAGCTCTAGATTTTATGGGTTGAGTATAGAGCATTTCCCATAAAAGAAAGAAACCTTAAAAATGTTAAAGTCAGTAAATCTCAAGGAGAAAACAGAACCTGAGAATTTTTGCTGCTAGGTGTATAGAAAAGTAATGCTTCTGAACACTGAAGCACTGAAACACAGTGATGCACAAATTTGGCACCACAAAATATATAGTTACAAAAAATTCAAGGCCTCTGAATAGGCACTTTTTTCCTCTGAAACTACTTAACACAAACCTGTAAACTATTAAGTACCTACCAGCACCACTTCATGTCAAGAATAATGTCATGAATGGCATCAGTCAGTGTTTGAACATTTTCAAACTTCATTCCTCGGCTAAAATAGAGAATTTCATAGCAGTTAGTTTGAACTGAAGTAGTGATTTTCTTTGGCATTGCAAGTAATAGAAAATAAATGATGTTAAGGATTTAGCTAAGTGGGAGAGGTAGGCAATCTGACAAACTTTAAAAGCAATCAAAATTCAGAACACTTTGAACAGTTCAATAACACAACTTAAGGCAAGACATTTAGATATTTAAGTTCCACACAATCAGCATTCAGGAATGCTGATTCTGTAAGGAAAAAAATCAAGTGTGCAGCTATTCAGGCATGTGTCCCGTTCTGTAATATTTATGGTAGAGTCAACAAAAAAGGATTTCAAGTTGGGATAGCCTGCCCTGCTTTTCCAGCCATCCTATAGTAGTAACACCTGCAGACACACCCTCTGACAACCTCTGCCAAGAATTGTGTACTGTACCCTATTCACTTATGCCATGTGAAAAACAGTACTCATTACTACAGTTCTTGGAAGAAAAGCAAGCAAACAGAAATGAAAGCTCATTGCTAAGTATCAGTTCAGGATGTTCTACAGAGAAAGATGTGACCTTAAGGACCTTAAATACTTCCCCTTTTCTCCACTTTCAGATAACATCCTGTAGTGACAGCTAGGTCAATAATAATTTTCCAGGCCCGATCCATCCTTTATATTAAGTTCGGAAGAAAAGAGTAAAGTTGAAGATAATATATTTGTCCACAACTGCAGCCTGCTTGAGGAAAGCAGGGAAAGTATGTGATCTGTCACAAAAGCACATGCTTGGGCAGGCCACACAGCACTAGATCATGCCAACATCAGAGCAGAGTCATGAAAACAGCAGCTATTTATACTGCATTAAAGTAAAATCTTATGTATTTTATTAAAAAACTTCATTAGAATTCTCTAAATATGTGATGGGTTCTTTTGGAAGAAAAACACCTTGTAGCAATACATTACATGCAGAATGCTCAATTGTTAGAAAAGCAGGTCAGCCACCAATTCACACTCATAGCATGTAAAGAAACCTTTGCTTAATAAAGCAAAACAACTTCAAGTTTCACATAATAACAGTGGATATTTAACAAAGATCAATGACAAATCTACAAAAAGCAGTGCTTGTTAATCTCAACTTGAACTTTTTATATTGCATTACAAAAGATATTCTTCCTATTCAAAAGGAAGTGTTTCATGCAGAAGACAGAAATAATGGCTTTTCTCCTCCCTTTTGCTCTTTGTTAAATGAAAAATGCAAGGCAATCTTTTAAATATGTTTCTTACCAGTGCTCATGGAAGTCAAATGAAACATAGGTCAAATTTGCATTATTGTACAGAAGAACTTGTTTAAGGTAAGCATCTCCAATAATCTTCTCTCTGCCTGTCTGATCCACCAGATTAATAATGACCTGTTCAGAAATGTAGATTTAACACTTGTTACCCTCTGCAATGTGACTCATGTAATGTAGTAAGTAGTACAAGAGTCAAGAAAGATTTGTAGGTCACCTTGTATAAGTTATTGTCTTTGATAAGTTGTACTTGAGATCAAATAAGTTCTAGATGTTAGCTGAACGTTAGCACAAGAGCTATGAAATGCTAAGGACAGGTATACAAAAGCAGGCTTAAACATCTTCGCAAGTTACTACACTTCTCAGGTAACTCTAAACTGAGATAAGATTCTGTTTATGTAGCATCATTCCAATAATCAGAAAAAGCATGCAAAAAAATATTGTGAGCTGATTATTTCAGCATGTAATACCCACCTGCTTTTTGTAATTTTTCAACTGTTCTTCAAAATGTGCACGAAAACAGGACACTGTTTCATTTTCACCTACAAGGCAGAGCAGTGTTAGACAAAAACAGTCTGTTCAGCAGTAAGTTCTCTTTGAAGTATTAATTCATACTCAAGTCAATACTCAAAAGATAGCCTTGCTTAAAAACAGCACAATACATTCTACAGAATTACTTTTACGGTCTGTCATGAGTTCTATTAGCTCCAACATTGTTGTTCTACTACTACATTTTATTTGAAAAAAAAAAATCATTCTTCAAGTTTGCTTTCTTTTGCCTTTGAGTTAAGAGCAGGGTGGTGTGGAAGAAATTCTGATCTTGAATTATTCCACTTAAAAACTCACTCTTGTCCAGACGGGGCCGTGGGTTATATCTATATCCAACTTGGCTCCAGAAAACAGGCACAGAGCCTCTTGTTTGTACAAACGAAAGAGTATGGTTATGAACATGAATCAGTTGCTCTGTCTCAACATAATTTGCCACATTTCCATTTTTATCAACACCTCGCCGCTTATACCGCATTCCTAGGAAGAACAAGAATAATGATCAATTCACATTTTAAGTATTAAAATGGCTAAATCCTACATTACTGCTTTTTTTTTTTTTCTCCTTCCCATGCTAACTCTATAAATAAAAATAAAGGAACTCCAGTCAAAGCCAACGATCAATGGTAAGAGTTTCTCTTGTAAGTTTCAAATTTAAGCGTTCTTTATCAAGATGGAAATTCTCAAAACTATCACTCCCAAGGATACATTTGATGCACAAATGAAGCTTAGTTTCGATAACTGCTCTCCTATAAGTAGAGAGAGAGTAAATTTCTTTACCAGCTCTGTGCCGACTCCGTCGTGAAATAAGCACCACGAGGAACGTTGGATGAACATCATCTACACAAGTTGATTCCTGAGGTGGCGTTTCAGGACTGCTCTTCTCATCATCAGAAGATTCACTATAGTTGACTACAAGTTCTTCAATTTCCACAAATCCTTGTATGATGGGCATAATCCAGAAGTCCACTTCAGTATTCTGAAGGTTGCAAAAAAAAAAAAAATCACATTACATTCCTCTTGGTTCTACATTGTCATCTCCATTATTTCTCCCATTTCTCATTTATGAACAGCTGCTTCACATTCCCTTCAAGTTTTAAAGTAGCTTTTGTCATATCTTTGTCTTATTTCTGTAGAAGGTATCAGCATTTTTCCCGATCTTCAAACTAGGAATAAGATAAAGAAAACAGCTTAAGATTTTTTTTTCCTCCTGTGGAAATGAAGCAAGATAGAACAAGGCTAAGCAGAAATTTATTAATAAACGAAGACAGATAGAAGACACAGTAAAGTGTCTGCTATCATCTTTAAAAGGACCTCTTACTTGGCCTAACCTCAAATGGACACAGTAGTTACAGTTCACTTTATCCAGGAGACCACATGCTGAAAAAAAAGAAATAAGTATAGAATCCTAGAATCACAAGGTTGGAAAGGACCTAAAAGATCATCTAGTCCAACCATAAGTAGTTACTGTATGTCTCTTCAATTCTGTTCATTAGTCAGGAAACCTCATTAGCTTTATCTACTCTGAAAAGAAGTTCAAAATAACTTGTTCCACACTACTATTTATGCTGATCAGCTATTCTTTTCAAGGATAAACACAGTATTCTCCACTTCAGAAGATAATCATTCCATCATTTAAATAAGAAAAAGTTTAGAATAGATCTGAAGTTTACATTCACAGATCAGCACAAGCTGGCATATCACAGCTTATTCTGCATTGTTTTATTAAAATAAGCCACCTAAGGTGAGTTTATTTATTAACTAGCAGGTAACATAGGCTAACTGAAACTTCGGCTGGGGGAAGAAGGGTGCATCACTCGCCTGGTAAGTCAGTTGCAAAAGGTGCAGCCATGATTATGACCTGTCTAAACATGTTTTTAAGTCAACTTCTATGTAGCCTTAAATAAACATTGTAACTGAAATTCTTTTTAAAAGTAGTACTTATAAAACACAGCTTTTGTTAGAAATAACTCACATTAGTGACGATTAGGTCTTCGATCATGTGTTTGTTCCAGAAGAATCTGTCATCAACCTGTTTAAAACAAAGAGCCATTTTTTTTGCAACAGAAGTATTCAGAAATGCTCCTACCAAAGACACCAACGTTATTGACTACAACTGCACATACAAGTTCAGCATTCACTACTTTTGAATATAACAGCTCAATTTAAAGCATGCTGTTGGAAACTTTTACTTCATTCTCATGTACTGAATCCAGTAGTAGGGCAAGATCTTCAGTTACAGTAGACTCTACTACCAGAGGGTGTGATGAGTCAAGTTTTGACCAGGAATTTTTCCATTATGTGTGCAGTTCATGATGTAGAACACTTACTTTTCGCCAGAGTGGCAAGTCCGTTTTCTCACATGCACTCTGTCTCTGCACAGAATTTGTTAGATCATAGGTAAGGCTGTAGTAAAAAGAATCTGAATCCATGAACATTTTGAATAATTCTTCCAATAACCTCTTCTCCAACCTCTCTTTCTCTTTGCTTTCTTTAATCTGAAAGGAAAGTAATGGCTTTATGTCTTATCAAAAGAAGATTCTAGCCACGTTTGCAAAATATCAGTTCTAAATTTGTGAAACATTTTCTCATTCTCATTCTCTGTTCTAATCTTAGTATTCTTTAGATTTTTCAAATCCAAGCCACAGTGCCAGAAACGGTGTGTCAAAATTTGTCTAGCTTTATGATAGTAGATATACATGCAGAGCAACTTGCAGAAGTTTAGAAACCCACTAGAAACAAGTCTTAGTAAGATGACATTTCATTAGAAAATGCTCAGCAATTATATAGTTACAAAATATAAAAATAGAACAGTGAAGTAATAAAAAACGAACTTTAGACAAAGTAGATATACATTCTAGTCCTACTGGTTCTCTTTCCAGGTCTTACTACTAATTACTACTTGATTACCCATCCATCATAAGCTCTGAGTTACCAAATAAGCATTTTGGAAGGACAGAGAAAAAAAAAAAAGAAAAAATCAGTAAAAAGCCTTACCTTCTTTTTATTTGGAGCAGATACATTTGATTTAATTTGTGTAAGAGTCTTCAGCAGAAATTTTGAGTCATCTGGGGACTGTGTAATCTTCTCTGGCTTGTTTATTCCAAAATGGTGCTTTTTACAAAGCTAAGTAATAATGATATTAAATTAAAATCAATATATAAATACTCTGAATAAAATCCAAGGAAATTTTAATTAAAGTCTACAAAGTCCATAGACTTGGGGAAGAAGCTCTATGACACAGAAGGAACGTACAGATTTCCATCTATAGCATAATTCTCTTCCTTCTTTTTAAAAAGCTGTTTTCCCTGTGATTTTTTGTCTGCTTCCATTTTACATGAGCTGAGTATCCAGACGTACATCAACTTATTACCAAACCTTTAAAGTGAATTAGTATTATTTACTTGAATGCTTTTCCTTTAAATGTTCACTTTTCGGAAAAAAAACAACACAATGTTTAAAGCAAGGGTTTCCCTTGAACCAAGTTATAGAATTAATATCCCAGAATAAGATGGAAACAATTCATGAAAAAGTATATGCTCTCCTGATTCAGAAAAGAAAAAACATCTTCTTGCAAAAGACAAACACCTGAATATCCATAGGACTTCATATCATCTGAGGAGTAACTGAGTTGAAGGCACACTGAAGAGAGTAGTGCAGATCTGAATGTTTATACAGGTTTCTATATAAAAAACATCTAGAGGATGCACACAGCCAGTGTGCATCACTATAAAGTGATGGGCTTTACTGAAAATCCTGCCACCTTCATTCTTAAGAGGTGGTCAGAAGAACTTGTTTGGTTTTTTTAAGAAGAAAAAGGAAAGTCATAGTTTATTGAAGATATTCATACCTCCAATTCCAGATCCTGAGGCTCTGTTTCAGAAAGTGGAATCACTGCGACCTTTGTTATTTTGTATACCTCGTGATCTCCTGGAAGTTTGCCAATCAATGCTTTCTGACGAATTAAAAGTAGCCACCATGGTAAATCTGGAGAAAGATTAGTAAAGGCTTACTGTAAAGTTATTTATTTCAACTAATCTGTCAAATTCTTCCTCACAGTGTACAACTCCCTGCCAGGAGTTAATTGACCAGAAGAATCCAGTGAATGATGATTTGCTGCTGCCACATTTTGCCACTACACATCACAAGAACAAATCATTACCTGGAAAAGATTATTTATTCTAACAAAGAGGTAGCATAGCTGCTATCAGTGAAACAGAGAGGCATTTCTAATAGACATCTATCAACGGTAAAATGACCTCTAGGATGATGGGCATTCCCAACATCCCAAGTGGCAGCACAACTTGAAATGAACAGTTGGATCTCACCTAAAAAACCTAGAGCTACTTTACAGATAGCAGCAAGCTATGGTTTTCCCTTCATACCTTCTCTTGCGCAGAAAAACAGAAGACAGACTACTTCTCCCACCTGAGTTTAAGTGGAGAGGTCCTATGCAAGCATTAAAAGCTTGCTGCCATGGACCAATATGCTTCCACAATTGACAGTTAATGGTACTATGCTTTGAAAAAATATCTATATTCTCTACGCTTTATCTAGTCTATTTGCCTTGCACAGTAAATTCTAAATCCAGTTTAAGCCTCTGAGTTCTTTCGGAAAAAAAAAAAAACAAAAAAAACCATGACAATGTGTTAAGTTACAGTAAACTTGGAGTTCTCAATGTACTTCCAGCTTAGAATCAAAGCTTCAAAGTTAAAAGCATCTTTCCAATAACAGCAGTTCAATCTTTAACATTTCTGCCCAACGCAGATGATGTGTTTCAGCAACCGTTTGTTCATCTAAAGAAAATATTCATTGTAAACACACTATCATGCATTGTGACAACTCACTGTTTCAATTGTGTATCGCTATCTTTGGAATAATATCAGTCTGTAATACAAGGAGCACCATGCTTTTATAAATTATTGTTTCCCAAAAGTACATATGTGCTCTGACAACCAGGGAAGGAGGATGTGAAGTCATGTACTGATTGTTCAGTTATGCCAACTTCCAAGAGCATTTCTGCACTACTTCCTGAGCACAGAATCAAAACCATAACCTCTGGAGTCACAGAGGTGGTTCAGGTTGGGAGGGAACTCAGGATGTCATCCTGCTCAAACAGGGGAAGCTATGAGGTTAGACCACATTTTTCCACACTGTCACATAAGCACAGCCTCCTAAAAAGTGAGTTAACTGCAGTATTGATGGTCAATGGATAAAAGATAAGGACATGAGAATGAGAGTAGACACCAGCAAAAAGGTTATCCTTACTGACAGCAGGTGCTGAAAGAGCTGTTTAGTATACATATAAGCAGCATGACTGACAACAACCACCCTTGCCTCCAGCTTGACACCTCATAACCATGGGATAAGGTGAAAGTAACAAACGTAAGTTTATTATACTTTTATCTGTAAAGTAGCTCTAGGTTTTTTAGATTGTTTTCTAGTGGGCAGAACAATCAGGTTTCTGCAAATCCAGTTCAATCCAAGCTTAACATGGGGGTAGAAAACACAGCATCCAGACATTCTCACTGAACACTATACTCATTTATTCCCCCTTATGGAGGTTTAACCGCATAACTCAAACCAATGAAGAGATCAGTAGGTCAACAAATAAATAGATTTTTAAAGAAAGGATACCATCTAAATCTCAAAAACAATAATGAGAATGACACCACCACAAAAAAATAGTTAAAAAAAAAAAGGTATCCCATATTGCCTTAATAGCAGCAAACAAGAACTCAACACAGCCAAGTGAGTTCTGTTACCTTTGAGTGCATTTTTTAAAAAAGGACATGGTTATCTTGTAAATGGAGTTTTGAAATTAATGCCATTACAGCCACAGCCAAAGAAAGTTCAGTTAAAAAAAAAAAAAATCCAACAGGAGTTTCCTGGAAGGCCAAAAGAAAACAGAGAAGCAGCAAGGTATGCAAATAAAAAATGCCCCAATTAAAAGCTACAGTAACAACCACAGAAGCTCAGTGTAATTGCCAATAACGTCCAGATAAGAGCAGTGCTTCTACAGTTCAAAAAGATAGTTATGTAGAACTTTTTCAGTAAGAACAGAACGCTATAGCTACATGTCCTTCCCTAAGCTGCACGTGTTAGGTCATCCACCGAGATCCCATCGTTTGGTTTTGTTGCCTTTCTTCTTAAAACCATATTATGAACTGTGGCAGAGCTGGCAGCAACAAGATGTAAAGCACTGCATCTAAAGTAAGCTATCACCTCTCTTTCCTCACTGAAAGAGGAATTTAGCTCTGCTTTTGCTTTACTGCCAGCACACCACTGCTGTGTAATTTATTTTCTAACGTTTCTCAAACAGCCTAGCATTTCATTTCCCCAAGTGCCTTTTAGCAATAATTAGTCTTAAACTCTGCATAAATTTACTACAAATGACACTTCTTGCAAGTATTTTGATTCTAACAAAGAAATACTACGGTATCACTTTCTATTTGCTAGTTGAAGAAGATGAGATGAAAGCCAAGAAAACGTTTTAAGTTGTTGATTGGATTAAGTTAGAGACAGCAGCAGTTGCACTTCAGTGAAGATACTTCAGATGCTGAACCACAGGTCTCAGTGGCATAGCAACAAAAGAGCTTTCCCTTCCTGGAGATAGGGAGGGAAGTATTTCACTTCCTTTTTGCTTACAGAGTCTAAGGAAACTTGACAGTAATGTTTTACTCAGGTCTTAATCAACCCACATAAGAAAACCAAACTGATAAGAGCACATACATTAAGCTGCATCTTAACTACAAGAGAGAGAAATGTTTGATTGCAGCGTGGAGTTACGTAGAATTTGGCTGGCACTAAGATGTCCAGCACTGGTTATAGTTCGATATATGCCATTAACTCTGAGCATATTCTAATCAATGTTTGATTAATTAGTCTCTAATCAAAACTGATTAGAACTTTTACATGAGATCTTCCACCACTAAAAAAAAATACACCTGGACTAGCATACAACAGTACTAATAGTAACTTCAGTGGTCAGAAGCCAAAGTTATACTAACAAAGTGAAGGAAATCAAAATTGCTAAAGCAGATCAGTGAATCTCAACTAAGACTTTGATTCCAGGCTACCATTACCACGTCAGTGGTAAAAACATCTACTTTCATTACTAACAAGGAATACATTCTAATTGTGTATCGAAATTGCTGCTAAAGGAATTTGAATGGTTATATTTTGTACATATATAAATAAACTGGATGACAAAACATTATTAATATTCTGTAATTGATAGCATGCCTATGCAATAAATGTTCTTCCTAAACAGAGGCAAGCACATGCACATACTATTCTAATGATGTATACCAAGAAAATGTGCAATGTTACATTTCACACATTATCTTCATACTATATCCTGAATTCCTTCCCATTTGTATTCTTATTTTCAATCCATATTTTCTCATAAGTCATCTTGGGATATGCAGACAGAGGGTAAGAGACCGCATCCCAGTACTCAGATATTCATATAATTTTTTTTCCTTAAAAAAAAAATAAAATCTTATTGTTTAAGGAACTTCAGTACTGGGAAGAAGCAAAATATAGCTTAAGTAGATTTTATCTTAAATGAGAACACAATTATGTCCAGTTGTACAATCGATTCTCTCAAGTAAAAAAATTCTTCAAAGAATTAAAAAGGACAACCACACAATATTGGCTGGTTTCTCACCAGATTGCTTCCCTGCCAAGAAAGCTTTCCTACACATTCTCCTGTGCTAGGCCAGCAATAAAGGCAGAAGATTTAGAGTAAATTAAATCTCATCCCTAGTTACAGCAATTTGGCAGTTTCCAATGCTAAATTAAGAACGTCCCTGTAGTCAGTTTTAGGTTATTTCAAGGTCACTTCAGCACTACTCCAGCATTCTTGCATTAAGTGGATCTTTTGAGAACATGGAAGGATCTAAGTCCAACACCAAGGGAATATGGGCTTTGAGCTTACTGACAGCTTAATAGCATACTGGCAGCAACTTTAATTCTTAAGAAAGTATTTAAAGTTTACAGTATTAGTCAATAAGACGCTGAGCAGGACAATCCCATAAAGGAATCTGATTATCCAGGAGTTCAAAATAAGTTTTCTGATCTTTCTTGTCCAGGTGGAAAAGACAGGGAAAGAAAAAGGGGAAAAAAAAAAAAAAAAAAATCAGAGCAACAGGTCCTCCTGATCCTGCTGCCACAAATGAGGTTTGGAAGAAAAGCATTTCATCCAGCTTGCACTGCCCAATACTCTTACCACATATGGAAATAATGGTCCAGCACTTAAATATTTATACAATTCTTACTGATAAAGTTTCCAGGTGACAAAGATTGATACACGAATAAGTAATGAAGACAGTTACTGTTACAGTGTTAGATGACTCAGCTGGAGGACTACACAGAACTATACCTGAACATAATCAAGTGACAGTTCATTGACAATAACTGACTTAAAAAGACCTACTTAGGCCATTTCAGTCAGCTCTCTTATATTGACTAAAGTGCAATGAGGACTCTGTCTTAGTGGCTGCCCACTAGACAGCTGCATCATTAAAGGCCTCAACATGCACAAGAACAGCCCACAAGCACTTTGTGTGTTGTTTAAAAAAAGGCAAAAGAAGAAACAAAATGCTAGCACTTGCCTAAGCAGCAACTGGATGGAGTGCCTGGATGGGCATAATCAATACAGTAGCTGTAAAAAACATATGGAAAGATATCAGGCTTATTACCTGATAACCTTAATTTAGCTGACAACAGCAAGCTGGCACTTTAACAAATGTCACATGCTGGGGATAGTTTCAATGCAGCATTCATAAGCAGAAGTGTCTCACAATAAGCATACATGCAAGAATATTCAGTTGCTATGACACAGGAGAACTTTCAGAAAGCATGTATCAGGGTCTCTCTCTTGAAAGGCTTTTATATGAGAATCCCTAAAGAGAAGGGGGGAGCCTTTGTGTACGAGAATACTTTATTAACAAACACAAACATGTCAAAAGCAAGCATGAAGCATTTTCCCACAGCAGGAAATAAAGGTCATTACTGGAGTTCAGCAGTCATTCATCTGTTTATTATGGACAGCACACACTGCCTGGATGAGAGCATCAGAGAAAGGCAGAGTCTGAACCACCTTGTATCATCAGATCAGAAAGAACTGCTGAACAGACTGGCAGAAGGAGGACAGAAAAATATCAGGTGAAAGTCAAAGAAGATCAAGCAATGCAAATGGAAAGAGGAAATGGCCAAAAGCTGTATGAAAAGAGAGAGGCTCTGTTCTCTCAGAAATGAGACCTAGTGGTTACAGTAACTATGGAGCCTGCCACTTCCCAGAACTAAATCCATCATACCCTCACAGCCCGTTTTCTTTCTTCCTCTACTGTTAGTGGGCCTCTCCTCTCTTGACTCAGCTGTTCCTGTGTGACAAACATCTGATCCATTTCAGCACTTAATCCATCCTGATATCCTGGAACTCACTTGAAACTTGACCTGCATTTACCTGCATCTATTCAAGAATGACATGAGATGCATGGTTTACAAAAAGGACAGCACACAGTAAATGAAGTAGAGTTTATGGCTAGCTTTTCTATTTGACAGTAAGTAGACATTCAGAGCTCTACTGGTAGAAGATCCTTTCTAGTTAACACTGGTTTATTAAATCAGAAACAAGTTTCCAAATGTTTCTTTTACTTTTAAATAGGTTTAAGTAGTAACCACTCTCACTGCACTTAACTGACAAAAAAATCATATTTTCAGATATTGAAAAAACCTATCGTTCATTAAAAAAAAGCTCTGCAGCATTATTAATAAAGTGTGCAAAAATTAAATGAGTGTATCTCACAGGGAGCCTCATGTGGAACTTCAGATACTGACTTCCATTCTTCGTGGATGCAGTCCTCTATTTGTACAAGACAATAAAAAAAGAAAATCCATGCACCAGAAAGAGGAATTTGCATACCATAACTAAAATATAAATGTTTTGATGAGTTCCCAACATAGTTGGGAAATACTGCACCATTGCAGAGAATACTACATAATCCACTTGAGTTACACAGTTCTATTTACATTATCAGTGCCTTTAAAACAAATTCAATTAGCAGTATAAAATAAAATGCCATATACCTGTATGAAGCTGGACTTTACCAATGACTCCTTCTACCAGGCCCAGGCAAATAGGATTCCATGCCAAAAGAAGATCAGTAGCTGAAAAATAATAATAATAATAATTCATATTTTGTAGTAAACTCAGCTAGACAACCAAGCCAGCACATCATTCTTTCTGCTTTCCCCACTCAGATGATAGAAAACATGCTTTGACTCCCACAACAAGAGTAAGATACATAAGCTGTTCAATTTTTGCTTGCTAATAAGTAGCTATTTTAATTAATTGACCAAATGATTCCTCCTGTTTATAGTTCTACTCCTTATCCTTCCTGGTTAAAAAACTACAAGAGTGTTTTCAGCTACATAATTCAGTCTAACATATGTTTTGTTCTCCTAATATCCACTGGAATTCATAACTTAATTGAAACTTTACATGGTCATAGTGAAATTAAATACAGGTCATTAAGCTGCTAATGTAGCCCCAAGAAGACCAAGCAGATGTTAACACTCGGCCCCAGCTCTGTCATATTTATCCAGCTACTATTCATTCCACAACTTTTTTCTATTTAGATATAGATGCACTTTTTCTTTTGGAATAACACTGAAGTATATAAGGCTTCATGGTTTCTAAGAAACCATATTAAGAAGTGTCAGTGAACCACAGAGGAAGTACAAAAGCAAACAGGAAGGCAATGCTGCCAGCTCCATCATTTGCAAAAGGTACTCATCTCAACATGCATTCAAACTATTGCTAGATGGAAGTCACTAAGACAGTATCAGTGTGAAAAGCATTTGATGGTAACAAGATGTTGATATTCATTTAGAGTTTATAACAGCAGTGTAATACCTGTAAAGTTTAATAATGTGGCAAAAGAAATTTCAGAATTTTAGCTTAAGTCATTAAAAACAAGGTCCGTGTGGGAAACCTGAGGTCTTTCTATTCCAACAATTTGATATTAGCTCAAGGGAGGAAATTTCTCCAGTTTACATGTAGGCAAGTTACATATCTTAGATCCCAGGGCAAATATGTAAACATTTTCAAGAGCAGACTGACATAACATCCCAAGATAAAGAGAACAATCATCCACCCACACCTTACTCACAAGAACTGAGTTCCTCCTTTAAAGTCTAAAATCTGCAGATAACAACCAATGGTATTTTATTATTTTTAAACACTATATTCTCCTTGAAACTTACTCACTACTCAGAATGCTGTTCCAAGAATGCAGATTTACTCCTAGCTTTCAGTTTAACACATTTCATAGTAAACCAGACTGCGTTAGTTTAATCACAAAATACAAGCATTTACATGAGACACAGAAGTCAGCATAGATCTAAACTGAACTTATTTAAAAGGAGTTTGCAGCACCGTGCTTTCACAAAGAAAAGCAGGAACTAAGTGCATAGGCTATCAAGATTTCAAGATGTTTGCAGAAGGCAGTACAAAGTTATGGTTAATATATGCAACAGGCTGTGCCATTTAATGGTAGATACCTGCAGAAAAACACCCGATTGCTCCTGTTTTGCTGTGAGAGCACTAGAGACAGTTACTTGGTACAGGAGCCAGTACAAGAAAAATGAATCATGCCATAAATTTAAGTTCCTAAGGAGACTAAAATAGATGAGCAGACGAAACTATGCAGTAGTGTGAAACTATGCTCAAGCCTCTCTGAAGTACTTCAAACTCATCATGTTTCTGTATATTGAATATTTTTTGCTTATACAAAACATGTTCAAGTATCACCTGAGTTCCTCATCTCAAATAATGCACAGGAGGATCTTTGTGCTGAGTAGATATGAGCTTACAGGAAAGAAGCACAAGGAGCCATCCCTGCTCTCAAGTTTTTCACTGCCTTCCCAAGCTCACCAACACATCCTGAGTTTCACCTTCGCCTCAAGAATCCTCAAACTTAATCTACTTTCTGCTATCTTGGACACTTGCAATTTACTTCATTCATGTGCCAATGAGAGATAAAAAACAGACACAAGCAGATAAAAAAATAATGTCAGGCACATACAGGAGTACTGATAGCAATTTAAAGGATTCAAATCACTTTATATTTACCATAGCTACTACAGAAATAAAAATCTGAATACTATCCAGGTCTCTTTAAGCCATTTGTTTCCTGCTATGACAAGATATATTAAGAATGGAATCATTAAGGTTGGAAAAGACCATTATGATCACCTGGTCCACCAACAACCCAACCTGGCCATGCCCACTAACCACACTCCTCAGTACCATATATTTATGTTGCTCATAAACTCTCAGGGATGGTGACTCCACCACTTCCCCGGACAGCCTGTTCCAATACCTCATTACTCTTCTTGAGCCAAAATTTTTCCTAACTATTAGTGGGAAAGCTCTCAATAGTGAGTTTGTTCTAATAATGCACAAAAATGGGAAAAATGTTAAAAAAGATTTAGTTGTAATTACAGGTATAAGGAAATGATAGTTTAGACCTGCCCACCACGAGAAAGATGTAAAGAAACTGATACTGGGGATTGTAAAACAAAAAGGTTTTTAATGGAGCCTTCATCATTTTCATGGTTTGCTCTGACACACAGCCCCAGATGTGGCCATATGCAATGCCTGAAACCTCTGCAGGAACACTTGTCCCACATAGGGCAGAGAATGAGAACTGACTAAACTTTGACTCCTGTGCGCACTTACAGCATAGCTGAGCTTTGGAAAAATAGGAGCTATCTGGAGTCAAATATACATCACACTAAGACCTCAAAAGGTAGCAAATACAGATCCACCAGCCAGGAAGCAATGACTTGAAATAAATGTGATTATCAAACTACCATCAGTGCAGGCATGAAAGCCAACTGTTCCCAGGAAGTTGTGACATGGTGGGAGGAAAAGCCACGTATTTAGCAACATTTGAGGAGACTGACGTGTTTCCCCCAGCATCCAGCAGAGTTTAGCTATAAAGAACTCTTACAGAAGAAATGCCTGTAGGCTATGGAAAAAATATCAACTGTGGAATCACGCTGTTTGGTGACAGTATCACAAGATTTTATTTTATTTTTTTATAAAAAACACATTTCTAGAAAAAGAACCTTCCAAAGGAAGGTATGTGTGACAGCGCAGAAGCAAGCAGCTCAAAGTTGCTCTAACTAATAAAACACATCTGTTTTGACATTCTAACTAGAATGTAGTTAGAGCTCCAGTTCCCACAAAGTAGCCATTGTCCACCAAACTAAAAAGTTAGCTGTACAGAAAAGTCCATAACAGCAGTGAGCTAAGCCAGGTTCCCCTGCTCAGGGAGTTTGTGGTGCCCTCAGTCAGTTCAATTTAAAGCCCTGTCAGGTTTGATAAGCCTTAGCACATGCACTTAATACTTTGGGATAGAAAGCATACCTTTAAGTATAGATAATTAATACAATACCTTCAAATACAGAATTTCCCATTCTTTCCCTTACCCCAAATAAATTCAAACTATCAGAAAAAAAAAAAAAACTGGCTCCTTTTGCTGATTGCCATCTGAGATTAGTGATCACCAATCATATGTTTACTCTCCACAGTGACTGCATCAGCATTGTAATCATAGCACAATAGGACTTCCACCACAAACACAGAACAAAACCAGCTCTGATGTGATTATTTCCACATCAGCTCTCTGAACTTACCAGCAGCAATGCAAAGGCAAAAACATCAGATAAAGCTTCTTGAACTGTTTGTGTTTATACAAACATAACCCTGGGAAAGGCGACATAAAAGCAACTTGGAAGACTGTCAAAAGCCAAAACTGCTTTCCAGCTCTTTCCCCATTCTACGCCCAGCAGATTCTATCCAAGGTCAGACAAGAGCTCAGACAAGGAAACAGACCGCTGCTTTGGGACAAGGCACTGCTCAGCACCAAATGACTACTGCCCAGTCTGATGGGCTTGGGGAGGCAGTCAGCCTCCCTTAGGCAGAAGGCAGGAAATTAAAAAAAAAGATTTCATTTAGAATCCCTTGGATCCAGCCCTTACCACTGAGCTGCTGTCAGGTTCAATCCATCAGATAGCTACAACCATTTATCTTCCAATTTCGCTGGAAATCAGGGGGATACTTCACAAACACTGGGGAATTTCAAGGAATGGACCTCAGCTAGGAAGTGTTCTGCCAGTGTACTCAGTATGAAAACCAAGTGGCATTGAACTTTAAGCTCAATTTATACATGCTTATAGGAGCTCCATGTTTTTATAAATAAGCATGAACTGTATCTAGACAAACATACAAACATATTCAAAAATTCTTTCCATAGCCTGGCAGGGTAGCAATTCTCACAGCCACTTTCAGCATTCAATAAAAGCAGTAGATATTTATATATGAAAAGAAAGAGCTCAGAAGCAACCTATTGTAAATATTCAAAGTAAGTTTTCCAGCTCTGCTAATACAGCACCAGACATCTGAGGAGTTAATTTTATTAAAATAACTTCAGTTTTTCCCTCAGAGTTGAAGGGTTTTTCCTCCAGTTTTGGCTGCTTCAGATCAAAGGCAACAAGCACCACCAGATCCTCAGGGCTTTTCAAAAGAACCTATTTTCAAGTTCCAGTCAACTCTGAGTAGTGTTCTGAAATATTAGCCAGGATTAAAAGATTACAAGTTAACTCAGAAGACTTAAGAGTATAAAGCATTTTCTAGACAAGAAGGGCCTCGAGTACTACTTCAGCAAGCAAACTTCAGCTAAGTTCTTACTGGCAGATTCCTAAATTCATGTTTAATCTACCCTAAGTGCAGAAAGATGGAAGAGCATTAAGACATTTATTCTTACAAGTACCAACAACTAATGGTCACGAAGCATTAGCTATATTGACTTGCTTATTTTCCATTTCAAACTTGAAACAAATTATCTCTTCAGCTAACAACTCATTTAAATCATCTTCAATTTGCCATTTAGACTGCTTGCTCAGCCCGTTGTAGACTTGAGCCCTCAGCCTCTTAGAATTGAAATGTTCCTCCTTAGCAGAGGAACCAAAGCACCACCATTCATCACCCCACTGTAAAAGCCCACAGCTATAGTCTCTTCTAGGAGGATATACTTTTTTCTTCTTTTTTAAATCCCAGCAAGTCTTACAGCTTTCTTTACACCAGTTCATTCCCCAGT